ACGGTTTTCATATAAATACATTTCGCTCCGACCTGGCCATTTATTACTCGAGAAATCTCAGTACTTCAAAATGGCACCCAAAGCAGCAAGCAAAGGAAGCAAGAAGGCGGTCAAGTCTAAAAGACCAGCCGGAGGAGACAAGAAACGCCGAAGGAAGAGGAGAGAATCCTACAGCATCTACGTGTACAAAGTCATGAAGCAAGTGCACCCCGACACTGGAATTTCCAGCAAGGCCATGAGCATCATGAACAGCTTCGTCAACGACATCTTCGAGCGTATCGCCGGGGAAGCATCTCGTCTCGCCCACTACAACAAGCGATCCACCATCACCAGCAGAGAGGTACAGACCGCCGTACGTCTCCTTTTGCCCGGTGAGTTGGCTAAGCACGCCGTCAGCGAGGGCACCAAAGCCGTCACCAAGTACACCAGCTCCAAATAAACTGTCTCAGTTTATACCTAAAACACAAGGTCCTTCTCAGGACCACCTTTTACTTACAAAAGAGATATTAGCATTTATGAATTATTATTATTTATCTATAGGCTAAGAGGCCGAAGTAGGCCTATCATATTATTATTATTTTGTCACGTCCGTTCTGGAATAGCGTTATGAAGGCTTATGTGTGCTGGGACCAACACAAAAAGATGTTAGTCCCAGGTGTGTGTGTGTGTGAATGAGGAAAATATGTAGGCCTATGTTTGGCATGCCCCGACATCAGTTTTCACTGATAGGTCTCAATATAGCCCAGGACTAGTATGCTTACAATATATTGCTCGCGACAGTGTCTATGTTTATTTCATTGATATTTCACTTTAGTTTAAAAGCCCCTGTAGCCTACCCCGACTCAGAAATTCACAAACTAATATTCCGACTTATACTGTCGTGTGAATGATTCTTTTAGCCCGGTTCACCCATTTTTCTTGGGTAGGCCTATCGTCGGAAAGCTATCGTTGCTAGCTGGATGGGGGTGCCATCAATTTAGAAATCCGTTAAGAAACAACGGAGCTAGAGACGGAAAACCAGTGACATTTCTAAAAAGTCAGTTTAGAGTCGAAAAGGTGGATTGGCGCTGCAGGAAAACCGACCAATCAGAATGCTAGATTTCTCAGTATTTCTTAAGTGAATCTTCAGATTCTCAGAAACGACTTCACGCTCGAATTTCACCTATCTATCGCTAACGGATCGCTTTGACATTGATACCATCGGGAAGCTGGTATCGCCAGCTTCACGGTGACATTATTCTCTCAGAAATCGACCGAGAAACGGCGGAGAAAATGACCGATAAGTGCCATTTCTAAAACGTCGAGTTTGGAGACCTAAAAGTGGATTGGCGCTGCAAGAAAGTCGACCAATCAGAACGCAACATTTCTTATGGAATTCGAAACTTTTCATTGGTCAAATATTTGTATCCCTACCCCGAACTATATCCTAGGTTTGCTAAGAACGTAACTGCCCACTCTTGAAATGATTGCAGAAGGTAGAATGAGCGACACACTACTTATATTTGTGCCAAACTCTCTACATCGAAGTCTTAAGCTAGAGTTTACTTAGGACTATTTTTTGTCCTCGACGGCAGGCTCCCAACGCACGTCTTTAGAATGTCTCTCTCTATGGCAAAACTGCCCTAATTCACGTCACCATACTAGTCAATGGGCAAAAGGGCAAACGCCTGACTTTTTATCTCGAGTTATGGATTAATGTTGCCTCACTTGCCTATCTGAGGTTCTAAAGCTATGTCTAAGCTACATCTTGACACTAAACTCAATAGGGGCCAAAGGCATCTACTTTTTAATTGGTAAATTGTGACACTACCCCCTCTCTCTGCCGACACAAATTTAAATTCACAAAAATGAAGGCAAAATTAATACGCCACTTGACTCGAAATTTTCTTTCAGATAACCCAAATAAACGCATTTTCAGAAGAAATGGCATGTTGTCATTGCAAAAAGATGACAACTGTGCCTACATACTAGCTTACTGACTCGTTATGATCACAATTGTGTTGGGAATACATTTATTTTTGAATACTACTTTTTTCTATTCAGCGGAAGTGACGTATTAGGGCATTTTGGCCTATGGTGCTAGGTCAGCCAGGCTCTCTACGCATGTGAAAGCCCAACTGTTCTGGGCTACCCAAGTGTTCTGACCGTCTTGCCCAACTGTTCTGACAACCCAAGTGTTCCGAGTTCACATATTTTATAATATCTTGAAATTCACAAGAGAGGGTGCCAAAATTAAATGCTGCTCAAAAAAGGCTAGGATGAAGAAAGAGAGCCAGAAAATACTTAGTATTCCTGAAACTGAGACCCAGACTACATATATCGCTATCTTCTTTCCAAATATCCTATTGCTCATGAGTGTTACATGGTGCAAAAGTCGAACAACCGGGGGTTTGACACTCCTCAATGAGTGCCCTGTTAGTTTATATGAATAAATGGAAAGCCTTTTGTGCATGAGGCAGCCACATTATAAGTGATTTCATTAACTTAATTTCTACAGTCATCTCTGTAGAAACCCAAAATTGGATTAGAAGTTGAAAAATCACAATATCGAGTGTATTTGCTACCAAGAATAATTGGGTCAATTCAGAATACTTCGGCAGGAGTCGGAATACTTGGGTAGCCCGGAACACTTGGAGCTTCACATACGCACGTCTTTAAGGTACAGCTGGGAAATAACATTTTTGTAAAAAATTGCTATACCTGCACATGTTATTTTCTGGTACAAAATAAAGTATGAAGGCCTGTATCAATTCCCTTGCTTTTTCAGGAAAGTATCATTACATTGTCTTCTTTTAGAATATCTGGTAGGCATTTAATGGGAACTCCAGGAAATTCTGATATTTCACACTCTCTATTTTTCCAAATTTTCTTTCAAAGTTTCCGGACAACACGGGAGCTACCATTGACCCGTTTCTAGGTTTACTAAAAGTAGACAGTGTAATGATACTTTCCTGAAAAATGCAAGGAAATAGACACATTCCTTCATACTTAATTTTGTACCAGAAAATAACATATGCAGGTATATCAATTTTTTACCAAAATGTTACTTTCCAGCTGAACCTTAAGGTGCTATGGAAGTTAACAGGAAATGACAAAACAGGAAGTGACAATTTTTTTGGCATTTTTAGATATTTTTTGAATAAAGATAACAGAGTTCTGGTTTGACCTCCAGTCAATTTAACTATTTCCACATATCATTTACATGACCAGGATCACAATGTGCATGGTCAGAATGACCCTAAACATGATGAAATAACCTTTTTAGCCCTTTGAAAGTGTGACTGAAAAAAAGCTAAAGTAGGAGCGTAGGGATAGTCAATGAACAGAATCTTTTGAATTTTTCAGAAAATGTGCCCAATATAATGCTCTAACTAGTACAATCTTTGAAATTTTAGAAAATTGTCTTAAACAAAAATGGCGGTCATAAAAAGGAAAATAGATCGCTTTTCAAATCAGTTTTTTCATTTTTTTTTCTTTTTCTATGAATGATTTCAAATTTTCAAAGATTGTATCATTTAGAGCAATATATTGGGCACATTTTCTGAAAAATTCAAAAGATTCTGTTCAGTGACCTTTCCTACGCTCCTACTTTTAGCTTTTTTTCAGTCACCCTTCAAAGGGCTAAAAAGGTTATTTCATCATGTTTAGGGTCATTCTGACCATGCACTTTATGATCCTGGTCATGTAAATGATATGTGGAAATAGTTAAATTGACTGGAGGTCAAACCAGAACTCTGTTATCTTTATTCAAAAAATATCTAAAAATGCAAAAAAAATTGTCACTTCCTGTTTTGTCATTTCCTGTTAACTTCCATAGCACCTTAAGGCTCGGGGAGTAGCTCCCACCTCCTCTCTAATATTCTCTATTTTATTAATATAGGCTACTAGTTTAGAATACAACAGCGTTGGGTTACCTAAGGGGGGGGGGGGGCTGACTAAGCCTACTCCCCATGTTTTAGGGATCCTCTGTAAGACCTTGCAATCTTTGACCTTGACGAACCTGTCTCTGTGGAAAATGATTCCAACCCTCAAAATGCTATGTATTGAGTATCCAAAAATGTAAATCACAAGTACGCTATGTTATGGGAAGAATTAAAATTGGTGCCTCAGATCCCATATATGGATTGAATCACAAACAACCTCAACTGGACCAAAGTACCACACACATACAAAGAGTACACATAGTTTTGAAATCTAACAAGGTACTAGACTTCCTCTGGAGCAACCTCCACCAATGCCCAGAGAACATCAGAGATGTACATCATGTAGTCCTAGTAACATTTGACATAGAAATATCTACAAAGATGAGTGGAATAAAATGGGCTTTATTAAGTCTAAGAGTAATTAAACATGGAAACTTTCAATAGAAATTGACATGGAATTTGCTCAAAAAGGGTGTCTTTGGCGAGACACAAAGGTATTAAGTGGCTTATCGGAGTGAAATCCCAGGCCTTAGATTTAAGATTTGACCTTTGATTGACCTTTGGATTCAAGTTTAGGCTAGCTTCAATCAAAGAAGTTCTATGAGCACACCGGAATAGCCTGACTATGGTAAAGTCAGATACCGTTGTCACAAATGGCGGACATAACCGTCGCTTCAACTGTTTAATCACTTGGTCCTCATTTCATGGGATTTTATCGTCGCTAATTCTGTGCATGCATTAAGCTCTTGTGATAATGTATCATATACGGTGTCTGACTTTACCGTTGTCAGGGGTGATGAGGTCTCAAATGTAAAATTTTCAAGGTCAAAAGTCAGGGTCATCAAACTAGGTCACACAGTGTTATCTAAGTTTCTCAAAATTATAAGACTTAAGAAATTTGAAAAAAACAATTTCAAAATTGTTCAAGGTCAGATTTCATATATGACCTTAGATTTGACCTTTGGATGACCTTCAAATGACCTATGGAGACTCTTGTTATTTCATATAAGTCGTAGGTCATGGGAGTTTGAAATGTTCCACTTTCAGAGGTGCAACAATGACAAAGTGAATATTATGTAGTTTGTACTTAAATTTTATTGAGGAATGGTACAATGAAAAAGCATGAATTTAAAACATAATTTCTTAATACAGTATTTTATTGCTGTCTTATCTAGCTGAAAATTTTGATATATAAGATATAGCACCAATTGAATTTATGAAGATTAGTAGTCCTATCTTGAGCAAATATACATACACAGCATGTATGTAGCAATATTGTCCATCAGCCATCAGCTTGAACATCACAAATTGTAAAACTTTACTTTTAATATTGTAACTGCAAACTGTCAGCAGTAAGATGGTGTATGTCAACCTGGTATAAGCTGGCGATACAAGTCCATTATGTGAAAGTCTATTGCGTTGTAGGAGGCAATTACCTGTAGGGACATCCATTCACCCAGTGACCTCTGTGACCTGGAAGTACATTAAGACACTAGTAAAGTATATACCAGAAAAGTCATTCATCAGTCAGCTGGTAATACAACACAGGGTGGGCCAAAAAACATCCATATTTTAATTTTGTAATATCTTTGCTGATATATTCGGAATATCCATAGATTATATATCATTGGAAAGATAATTCAATTTCTAACAAGATGATGTATGGTTCATAAAATATGATATGAATGGCTATTGGTGACTTCATGATGGTTTCCGTATCATGAGGTGGTAACAAACCAAGATTTTTCTATATGTTTTGAGCTTATTGCATAATATCACATTGCTCAGGGGAGGCATCAAAAGTTCGATGTCGGATAGAAAACTAAATAAATCTAGTTAGAGGGGGGGGGGGGGTTCAAACCCATTTCAGTTTGCTTTCCGACAAATTTCAACATTTCAAATTTTTGGCAATTTTGACTCAGAATGCCTTGGAATGGTTTAAAAATAAAGATTTTACCTGATGCTTTCTCCGACAAGATCATTCACATGGATTCTATTTTATCAATAGTTGTTAAAAGCCACATTTTAAGGTAGGAATTAACAAAAACTAGATCATGTTTAGCAATAATTTTTCAAATTCTCAAACCGGAAGTCAGCGATCAACTTTTATGGTATTTAGTTTTTGGGGGGAGGGGGGGGTCAGAGTCAAAACTAGATTTATTTAGTTTCCGATCCGACATCGAACTTTTGATGCCTCCCCTTAATCAACCCTTTCACTTTTAAAGATAAAGAAAAAGTATTAAAGTTTTACTGTTTGTACATCATTTTATACATTTAAAATAATCATGGAACCTATTTTTATGCATTGTAATTCGTTATAAAGTGGTGTCTATAATTACATTGTCTGCCATTTCAAATGTCAGATAGGTTAAGTTATAGAAGAACGAGGTCAAAATGTCTTGAAAATAGTAAGTATTCAACTGAAATGAATTATATATCACTTTGTTGCAAATTTAATTGTCTTTCCAATGACATATGGTTTATACATTTGTCTGTAATATCAACAACATTGTAGCATAAACAAAAATATTTTTTTGGCCCACCCTGTATACTTTGAAGAGACACGAATGTTATATTATTGATTGTTCCCACAGTCTTAACTTGACACAATAATAGCATGTAAAAAGGATAAAACATAACATTTTGATTTATCACGATTGAACACTTCCGCTGAAGATGTTTCCACAACACCTTAAATATTTCCTCGTGAGACCCCTGTAGTGGTTGTCAATTCTGCACCCTCCCTACTTACGTCTCAACAATCATCAAAACATACTTGATGACTTTTTGGTGCAAACTACTCAATGACAAAGACAGATTGAAAAGGTCTCGTAATAGAATATAAAAGGGAAGAAACAGGAGTGCCTAAGACAGACTTGCAGACAGACAAAGACAATCATGCTTTATACTATGAAACGCAAGGATTTCCCAATACTTAGAGGTTATGTCACTATGACGTGAAATATGCCGGAGTTCTCCCAATATAAGCCGACCTTGGGAGGCTCTATATTTGGGAAAGAACGAACTGATAACGGATGTATTATATACCCTTATTCCCATGCCTATTTTGTATCAATGACGTCACACATCTGTGTGCTAGTAGAATTTGATTGAAATGAAACATGACGTTATGATATTGTCATGGTTATTAAAGAAATCATATATCAAAACAAGGAATAGGGCCAAAAGTTCTGCCCCATTTGCTCTAAAAACTTTAATTCTTTATAAATATTGTTCATATTTGGCTTTAACATACTAGTATATATAGTATTTTTACTTTGTGTACAAATAACTAATAAACTTGACCAGTAACATAGGTATCTGGTAAAATAGCACAATGACCACAGGGTATGTGGAGCAAGAGAACAACACATTGTAGGGTTGGAAAAAAGTTGACACTTGAAAGGTGTTACAGGGTACCAAATTATTTTCAAAGGTGTCAGCCATGCCTGTTAATCGATTATTTTTTCATTAGACCAATGCTATATTTGTGATGTGATATCATACTTGCTATAGTTGGCAACTATGATGTCTAACCTGAAGAATGCCTTGCCCCAAAATCAGCTCAAGAAGCATGAAATCCAGTTCCATTTCGACAATGCACCATTCCAACATTCAATGAAAACATGTGCATGCCTTATTTTACCCAGGCACCCTTCTCATCCACATGATCTGCATCCCTCTAACTTTTATCTTCATGGTGAACTGAAGAACAAATTACGAGGACAGAACATGTTTTTGAACCTTAAAATGAATGCTGTTCTTGAGTGGCTTTCTGAGACAGGTGATGGGGAATTTAAGGATGTATTTGATCAAGGGGCTGCAGATGTACTAAGTGTATATAAGGGGAAAAGAGACTATTTTGCGAACCTAAATTAAGAACTTACCATAAAATATTGACAAGTTGAAAAAATAATTGATTAACTGGCATGACTGACACATTTGAAATTTGGTACCCTGTAACACTCTTTAAGAACTTACAATAAAATATTGACAAATTGAAAAAATAATTGATTAACAGTCATGACTGACACATTTGAAATTTGGTACCCTGTAACACTCTTTAAGAGTCAACTTTTTTCGAGCTCTACAATGTGCTGTACTCTTGCTCCACATAACCTGTTGTCATGTTACTATGATAACCAGACACCTATGTTATTGTTTATTTTTACACAAAATGAAACTACTATATATGGGTTGGTTGAGGCAAAATATGAACAATATTCATAACAAATTAAAACTTTTAGAGCAAATGGTGCAGACCTTTTGGATCAACCCTCGTATCGAGGTAATTGGGCAATATCGGTAGATATAGCCTGTTAACTTTCATATTGACATCCATACAAATGCCTTGCTCGGTATGTAATACACTCATTCAGTAAATGCAATAAACACATATTATTACCACAATTATAACATGCTCCATAACCTCCATAGTAAGCCCCATCATCACCCTCCATTGAATATTCCGAATCATCAGAATCCCTCATAGAATCATCATCATCATTTGAGTTATTATCAACACTGATCTCACTATCTGACCCTGAGCTCAGTTCAATGGGTTCTGAGGGTGGGGGCTGTGCAGGCTGAGGTGTAGGGGTAGCATCTGTAGCTGGAGGGGGTGCCGTATTTAACAGACCTGAGGATGTGCTTGGTCCAGCTACAAGAATAATAGGATCATGGATAACTCCAGTTCCTGAAAGAAAATGGCAGATATGTACTCTACCATCTGTGTTAAGTTAAATACAAGTCAATTTGTCAAACAAGGTTAACATTAACAAGATTAAAGAAATAAAAAATGAAAGAAGATAAAACAAAGAGGATGAGAAATAACTGAAAAACAACTAACTTAAGTCAGGGCAAAATTGTAAATTGACATGGGTGGGGAGTTGGGCAAACAGGCCATTAAATAAAATGATGCTTTTTACATCCAAATGAACAGAAATTGGCGAACTACTATGTGTAGGTTAACAGATTGTGCTTAGTCCAGCTATACACAGTTAAAATAACAGAGTATATAAAGTATTAGATACAGAACGATGAAATACACATGCCACCCACACTGGTATAGATGATAAAGTGAAGATAAAGTATAATACACACCTGTAGTTGCTACAGTAACTGTAGAGGCAACATTGGGAACATTTGTCACAGGGACTTGCATCTGCTGATAGGTGCCTGTAGCTGCATTCCACACATATCTGGATACAAACTGTTGTTGTGGGGGTGCATGTGTTGCTGGAGCTGCACCACCTATTGCCCCACCTGTGCCTAAGATTCCACCCCATCCCCCTGCTCCTCTATTTTGAGCCCCTCCTCGATTATTTAGCACACCCCTGTTATTTTGTGCCCCTCTGGTATTTTGTGCCCCCCTGTTATTTTGGGCACCCCTGTTATTTTGGGCACCTCTGTTATTTTGGGCACCCCTGTTATTTTGTGCACCTCTGTTATTTTGTGCACCTCTGTTATTTTGGGCACCCCTGTTATTTTGTGCACCCCAGTTGTTTTGAGCACCCCTAGTATTTCGTCCACCTCTGTTATTTTGTGCACCCCTGTTATTTTGAGCTCTGGGGGTTCTCCTGGTATTAACACCCCCAGTGTTATTTTGGGCTTGTGGGGCTGTCTTTGGTTTATTGTCAGCTTCTTTAGCAGCTAACATGGCTGGAATAAACATTATCATAAATTAAACAACATAATCAAACAATCACCACTTTCCTTGCGCTTTATGACAGAAGATGAATCGGGCCACAATTTAAATAAATCTAGCTATTTTTGCCATCTAATTTAGTACTGGTTTTCATTTGCTGTTATGAGATTTTTCTGCTTCTAACATGAATGGTGCATACATACCTTTCCTCTCAGCGATCAGTTCCTTTCTATTTTCTTTCAACTCCTCACTCAGTTGCGCAGCCATCTTGTCTATGTAACTGTCTAACACAATGGACTTCACATGGGACGTTATCTTTGCTCGACAGTTAGGACATTCTTTCTTGCGCTCCATCCATGTTGTTATACAATGATAGCAGAAGGAGTGGGAACAATTTAGTGATGTGGCCTAGAAATTAAAGTTAAGTCAAACAACTGCTACAAAAAGATATGGTTAAACACGGTTAAAAAAAACTTAAATCAATTTCTATAATTAATAATTATCATATTGCTTTACAACAGCACAATACACATCCATGTATCTACCTGTAAACACCTCATTACACAGACTCATAAAGAAGTCTTTACAAATGCATGCACTTACCTGTAAAACACTGCATTACATAAACTCACCTGTATTATATAAAAAGCATAAACTCACCTGTATAAATACCATACACTCACCTGTATAAACAGCTCATTACATATGCTGCACTGTAGCTCAGTCTCTATCATCTCAGTAAAATTGGCTAAAACATCCTCCCTTGCTCTCAGCATGCCTTCCTTCTGCTTGGTATTCTCCTCTCTAGTTTCATTAAGCTGGGTCTCTAACAGTCTCTGCTTGAGCTCCTTACTTTGAATCACTTTGTCAAGTTTTTCCTTTTCCTTAATAAGTTCTTCCTCTAAAAGTTTATCTTTTTCTTCAAGTTTACGCTCCATTTCTTTCTTGAGGTTATCTTCAATACGTTGTTTTTCTTCAAGAAGAGACTGTTTTTCAGAGTCTAAGCGTTCCTTTAGGCTCGTTTCTTTAACTTGAAGTTCATGGACTATACGTTCTCTCATATCTTTTTCAAGAGTGATTCTCTCTTCCTCCATCTTTTTCTGCAAAACATTAACTAAGCTACTAGTATATAAATGCATTTGCACATGACAGAATGATACAACCTTAAATGATTTTTAGTGTACCAATGCCTATAATAAGAAAAAATATAGCACAAGGACTAAAATATACAATTAGAATGATGAAAATATACAATTAGAATATTAAAATACTTTGTGTACATTCTTTATTATATTCATATTCTTTAACATTGAAAAAGCAACAACTGTGGTTTTAAACATTGTGTACATGAATATGTACCTTTTCCTCTTGAAGTTTGAGTTCATTCAGTTGGAGATTTTTGGCCATTTCTTCCTGTTCTTGCTCCTTCTCAAGCAGCAAAGCCTGAAACACAGAGGCCACACATATGATATAATATATAGAGGATATCCTATGATTTATGAGTGATATGATTTTTATCCACGAATGGATATGATATCTGCACGAGCGAGCGTAGCGAGAGAGTGCAGATATCAATAACCATGAGTGGATTAAAATCATATCACGAGTAAATCATAGGATGTTCTTTTTATTCCATAGTTAAAGTCATCATCAGAATCGTCGGAAATTAAATCATTTAATTCGAATTTTCCAAACGATCCGGCGATGTTGACACTTAGCCTCGTTTTGAGTCTGAAGTAGCAAAAATCCATAAACCATCGCATACGACGTCATATGTCATGGCTAAAAAACCGTATGCTATGGTTAAGTGAAAATTTGTCAAAAATATCATATTTTACCACTGATTCCAAAAATACCGTTTTTATTTTCACATGTTATCCTATGAATATCATGCTAACTATAGAATAAACTTTAATATTGTGTAATAGAACACAAAATAATTCACTACAATAAAACACACAAGGAACAGTTGTATTGTACTAGCTAATCCACCCTATACATAGTGATTGCACAAATTTTGAATGGTACTTGTAAAGACGAGCCACAACGACTATAGTTGACTTTTTCTGACCAGCTTAGCAGTAATATAGCATCACTGATTGCATACACAAAGCCATTTCTCTTCATAGATTACATAGCCATTTCTCCATTTCTTTACTATTCGTTTGATTACATTGAAAACGCATGGCATACATAATTTAATATCTTCCACTTTTAAAACAGCATAGAATCTGATAAAATCCTCACTGGGCATGGGTGCTATAGAAATATAACTTAAAAAATTATAGTAGTACTAATATTTTTGGTTTTTTTTATCACTGTGGCTCGTCTCTACCACTACCATTCAAAACTGGTGCAAGCACTACGTATAGGGTGAGATCACAACGAAGGAAACATTTTCTCAAATTATCATGAGTACAGGCTTCTTCATGCAAGATATTAAAACATATATGTCAAAGAATTAGATTCCCTCTTTAATACCATATATAGTTTTAATTCATTAGGCATATTTTCTGATGACCCTGACCGATCTATTCACTCTTTTTAATATTTACTGTAATCAAGTATTTTTCATAAAACTGAGGACAACAACTGTTTGTTGTCTACATCTTTATGATTGTAAAGAGACAAAAAAGTCAAATCACTAAATGATTTAGAATTGCAAATTGAATAGTATAGTTTCTAAATAGCTGAAAAGTGCTGACATAATAGGTGTCACCCTTGTTTGTCTTTGATTTTTCTAGGGCCAGACCTCCACTCCACTTGAATCTGTCTGAACCTTGAACGGCATACTATTGGATGACCCTGTCAATGTACATATTGTACGAATAAACCAAGGTTTTAATGAATTTCAGCATTGCACCAATGGAGTTTGGCCCAAGTTTTTTTAAATGTCATGGAAAATGATTCAAATGACACAACTGTTTAAATAAAAGCTATAATTGGAGAAAATTTGTCACTGAATCCAAATATGCTATCAAAAAATAAAGAAAAGCAATTCATTAGTGGAAAAAAGTGCAAATCTCTTATAATCTCATGTAAAAACGAGAATTAGCGAGATTTCAAAGCTATTTAGAAACTCCTCTATTAAATGAATTCTGATATTATAGCAAAAATTGTTAAATCAATTTGTTATAATATTTTGAATACAATTTTTCAGTCTGCAATTTGAAACTAGTAACAGATGAAAAATAATCGAATATGTACTTGGGTAAAAGTCAATACACTCAGTAATTATGAATTGATTCAAGTCAATCTGCATGCAAAATAACAATTTGGAACTACAATCAATAATGCAGCATTTTAGGAATTGTTTTAAACATTACTTCTTTGCATTAACAATAGATAATGATATAATAATGTAACTATGAATACTCAAGTTTCATGTTTTCTTCAAAACCATTTAAAATATAATCAAGATCGCATGTACACCTTATGATTACTCAAACTTTATAAACTGAACTCTTAATATTTCAAAAGGGAATGAAAATTTACATACTACATGTAAACATGTATTTTATAAATGAATGTTTATCATGCGGCAATGAACATAGTTTCTCTAGTACAGTATAGCCCTAACAAACAGCACAAGTCAAACGTATCCATAAACTAGACATGTCTGATCTCAGATTGTTGCTTATAACAATATTCAATGTTTTCAATGTAAGAGATGCTATGAGATTGACTCAAATACATAACGCTCATTTTAATATTACAAAGTTGGTTGATATTGAGACAAAGGCAACAGGCCACCCTATGCTATACTTCACTGCTGACGCTATAGCTGGGTTTAGACACAAGGCAGACACAACACATTCTCATTTAGCACATGATCTCCAGCAAGCCAAAGGTGACATACTCAAGGCAAGAAAACGAACCATGCCCCCTGAAGATCATGCAAAGTTCACTGGATTCTGGAACGAGATTTATGGGAACAATCTACCTCCACTGGCTATGTATTTGCTAATTTATCCTGACGATCATGAAGTATTTAATTTCATTCAGGATGCTATGGATCGCCTTACTGCCTATCCAGATTGGCTTGTTCAAGCTATGCCAGTAGATGAGGTGCCCATATCCCACACACTTCTAGGCTACGCAACAACATTTGATTTTCTCTATACAATGTTTGATGAACAGCGCCAGAGAGCCTATCTAGAGAAAATTATTACTACTACACGATATATGTATGCTAAGTCATTTAAACGATTTTGGGGAAGATCATACATTCAGAATCATGTAGCTTCAAATATGGTGGCTCTTCTTACAGGGGCTATAGTAGCTTCAGTTCATACAAATGATGCATATGATTGGATTGAGAAAACATTGAACCTCTTAGAAGGCAACATGTACCTACTGAGTCTCATAGGGGATGGCTCACTAAATGAAGGAGTAGCGTATGGTGCATACACAATGCGCACTCTAACCCAATATCTATACCTTGTGCAGCACCATTATCATATCGACCATAGCCAAAATGAATGGCTACAAGAACATTTCTGGTTTTATTTCTCAACTCTGTTGCCTGGATTTAAAGAGAATCTCGCAATTGGTGACTCAAATAAAAATTGGTGGTATGGCCCTGAGAGTCAATTGACATACTTAGATAGTTATGTATTAAGGAATGGTTGGGGTAACTGGTTGGCTAGTAAGATACGAGAAGCGAGGAAGTATGGTTTATCCCCTGGTGTAAATCAGCGTTGGACAACCCATCATACTGAATTTCTATGGTACGATCCTACAATAAAACCCACCCCACCCCCAGGGTATAGTAACTCCTCGCTGCATGTATTTAAAGACTGGGGGGTGGTCACATATGGAGGAGGACAAGAGCTACTCCCAGGAGCAACATTCCTCTCTTTCAAATCAAGTAAACTACATGGTAGAGTCATAAAAACACTAACAGGCAAACATCACAACGGTTTAACATGGGATGAATTCAACCCAGGTCATGAACACCCAGATCAGAACTCTTTGGTGTTTGCCCCCAATGGGAAATTATTCATCACAGAAGGGTTGTATTCATTCAAATGGAGCTATACAAATAACATCATAATGTTCAGTCCTTCTACACTGAGTAACTGTAGTAAGCCATTGGTAGGTCAAATACATGATTGTAACACATGGCTGGAATGGCACCCGAAGAAAGGGGTGACAGAATGGATGGACGCTGAGATAGTGTATGTAGGAGAAACTAACAATATGGTATATATAGTTGGTGAGGCTGCCAAAGCTTATCCTGCAGAATTAATGTTAAAATCTGTCGCTAGGCATTTGCTGTTGCTTAGCAACCATTTGCTACTGATCCTTGATCACATAGAAATAAACACTGGATCTTCTATAACTGATTGGAGTTCATATTTTAACAACTATCAAAACAAATTCATTCCACTTGTCGACACGCAGTTCCAAGGAGCTAAAATGATAACAGATAATGAGGAATATCGGCTCATAGTCCAGGTGCCGAGAACAGCCAGCCAACCAGATGTAATGATCACCGAAGTACAGACAAACCAGGGAAAGAATATAAAGCGTACACTGAGCAATATCAATGTATCAAGCTCTTTACAAGGCCGCTTCACAGATGTATTATACATCCTCCATTCTCCTGAAGTTATATTACAGGATGTCAAATTTCTCTCAACTTCAGATTTAGAAAACGATATCTACTTAAAGGCAAACAATATTGTGAATTTGGTATCCATGAAGCATCATGGGTTAAATTCTGAAGGTGGTTGTACAGTAAATAAACCTTTCACATCTGAAAAGACAACATTTTCTAATAAGTATGATCAAACATTTGACATAGAGGAGATAATTCGAAAGCATCCCCCTATTGGATATGCTGCTAAGAACAGAAAAAATGATAACGATGAAAACACTGATATTGAGGATGATCAGAATGATTTTTATGATGAAAATGGAATTCCCCAGTTTGCTAAAAGAGATGCTCTAAATGATAACAGTGACAAACACGAACCTAAAAGTAAAAATCCTGATTTTCAAGAGTTGCTTTTTGATTTTACATCTAACCAGAGTTTAGGAAATTTTATGGTGCTCAACGGAATTATTTTTTTGATATTATTGCTCCTTTTCAAAAACATTAGAAGTGTGCGGAGGTTGTTGCTTAGAAAGAGATGGTTACTAAAAACTTAAATTATACCAGACAGAGATAGAGAGAGAGACATAATTGAAAAAAAAACTGTAAATGAAAACTTTCTTATTAGAAATTACTTTAATTAGTAGAGTGGAATTGTGTTTTGTTACTCTTTTGACTCTATTCAAAGAACATTCAATTTGTTCTAAAATTTTATATCGGGTGTTTCAGGGTAATCTTGATTGATGATCAATATCGGTCTAAGAAAGACACAAGATGTACAAGTAACGTAAAATAATGTGTTTTGCTGTTCAATAAATTCTTATAATTTCAACTTCTTAGAAATAACAATTTTTGAATAATTATGAGTTGAAGTTCAACCATGTTATGATTAAATATATCGATATAAAACAATTTATTCAATTGCTATACAAACATTGCACGCAAGTTCAGGAAATCTGACAGCATAATTTTTACAAATTAACAATTACAACTAAAATACAGTAACCAAAAATTTTATGTTAGACATTTTTAGGATAATTATATAATCATTTTATCAGTAATTGATTTTATATACAAAAGGTAAAAACTTATTATATCTACACAAAAATAAGCATTAATATTAGAATCTCATAAAAACAGACCAAAGGATAGCTGTTGGCTAATGATTGGCATTGTATATACACAAAGAATATCTTAACCAGAAACAGGACAATATTTCTCTTATAAAATGGTAAGTAAATTCCATTTATGTTATATCAATTGCATAAAGTTGCGTTTTTAACATAACATAATTCAAATTACTTATTTGATTCCATTAAAATTCTATAGATGAAAATTGTAGGTAGAACTAAGGGTTTAGTGTAAGACATTTTAAAAAGTGGCTATTTAGCACTCAATCTCTTCTCCCTGATACATATGTATGATGTAATATAATAGATGTAGCCAGTACAACATTTTTGGAAGTGTAATGTGCAAGGAAAAGTCAACCTTTTGACTAAAAGAATTGAGATTTACATTTAAAGAGAGAATCAGATCTAGCGAGCAGGCCATCAAAAAATTGTTTCAATTTTAGAATATTTCTGGCTCATGTCTTTCCTTGTCATGTCTATTTTCTAAAAATCCTCTAAGTGCACACTTTATTTCAGGAAAACTAAAGATTTTTACAATAATGTATTATTTTTCTATAAGATTGGTCACCATTCTTATTATTTGGGAGAATTTAAACATTTTTGACACATTTTTGCACGTTTAATCCATTATAACCTCACCAATTCATAACATATCATGAATCTTTTGGGAGATATTGTATTTGAGATTGTAAGGAATAGATTGACAGGTCAATTGTACATGTTGCTTGCAATTTTTTCACCTCTATAGATCTGATTCTGCCTTTAATTCCAAAATTTTAATTCTAACTTTCAGCTATGAAGTGAAAAGAATTATGCTGTTTTTACATCTTGGGAACCTAACTTGGACTCTAATATGCCTCATATATTGCATCAAAGCAGGTAAATTTGTTATTGGCTCGTGCTGAGGCAAGAGCCATATCTCACTTGGGTTTAGTAGTAAGTGATAACGACAATGAACTGAGGTTTAAATGTAAGTTTACTAGTAGAAAACCTGATGGGTTAATATTTATTGATGAAAATGAGTTCATTCCTCGAGCTAAAGTTTAACCCTAAGGTGTTAGTTTATAATGAAATTGCGTTAGAGAGGGTTTCAAACGACATATACACAATTTTACAACAACACCATGAACACTGTGCACTGATTTTCGGCAACATGATTTCCTAAATATGACAGAAATACGAGTGACTTCTTGATTTAGAATTGTGAACAATTTACAGCATTAAAAAAACTCCGAACATTTAACTATTTTATTAATATCTTTGGAGAACGAGAATCAAATTGACCCATCTTCACTTTTTGATATGTTTGGATGTTTTCTAAGAGGTCCAGGTACTCAGACCTTCACAATTTAAGGATCTTAATCAGTTCAAAATGTTCGGATTTTTTCTACTATTGCCGTTCGGTAAATTACAACCGCATTAAAAGTAAGCATCCCTATTTATCAATACAATTCATTACAACACTGCAAACATCTCCTTCACACGAGCCTTCATTTTTTAAAAATGATCTCATGTTCTAACCTAATACGATGATACACATGTTAAAGTCAGTCATTTATTCTTCTCAGTTAGTATTGTTTGCAGGGAGAAAAAAGGAATAGTGAAGAGTTCAGAGGATGTTACATTTCTGCACATCATATCTCAATTTTTCAGAAAATAATGTAAATTAGGATTGCAAAGGACACATTGACATTAGTACAATAACGTCATTTCAAAGGGCAAAATGAATGCCTTTTAAACTAGCACTAAAACCCCTAGAACTGGCCCAGCAAGGTGGTAATAATATATTTTATTTTATTTTTCTCAAAATAATGAAGAAAATATCAAAACAGGTTAAGTTGTCTAATTGTATGCACCAAGATAAATATCTAACTACTGTACAAACATTTCCACATCAGTAAAAAATAATTTTGCTTTGGTCATCATGGTGTCTGCATGAAAAAATGTTAGATTTTTATGAAATTCAATTGAGCAATTAAATCTGTTATTCCTAGAGATAAATGAAGAAATACAGAGAGAAAATTACATACTTGGAGAATGCAATATTGCATGATCTTGGCAGTCTAAATTCCTTTTATTGTTATACTATATCCTGATATTTCAGTCCATTATGTGTTTTCCAATTTGAAAACTCATTAATTCTAGACAAAAATATATAATATATGGTTCGCATGCAATAATATACATATATTGAATTCTGTAGAGTTGAATATCTGTATATATTTCTGAAGGTGTATTCACCGCAGCCTGAAGGGCGAGGTGAATACATCTCTCAGAAATATATACAGATATTAAACGATCACAGAATTCAATATTTGTTTTATTATTTCCCCATTAAAGTAGTACACAATATTAAAGTTACAAGTACACAATATTGTTATAATATGACATTCAGTTTCAACGTATTTCCAAACCTTTGCCAATATTCTCAGTCACACCATGGATAAAAATTAGATTTGGAACTTCCATGTTAAAGTCCATAGTCTTTGTGCTTTGATTAGTTGACTTTTTTAATACCTTTGTTAATTCTTTATCCTGTGTTTGTTGTACAGTTGTGAACCTTCCTGATACAACTTTACCATCTATCATATCGGATGAAAATACTTTTTACTTCATTCCCGGGAATTAAGTGATGTGACATCATTTTAATTGATATATAGTGGTATTCACTAAAAATGACATAGTGAAAACACTCTTCGTACGTTTTCTAAGTGGGGAGACATGGAACACGTCTATATATTTTTAGTCACATGGTATATAATTGACCAATGAGAGAACGGCTATCACAGCATGGAAATAATAATACTTTTTAGCTCAATGTAAAATTAATGATATGAATGGAAAGAACTTGAAGGGAATCAAAGTCTAGTAGACTATAGCCCCAAATTATAGTTCTGTTAATTATATAAATTAAATTATGTTAATTAAGTATACATTTCAATCAAGATCAATCAATACTTTTTTATTTAGGATTTGGGAATCTTGTGTGATCAATCCTCCAGTCCTTTATATCGTACATCTATTCATTTTCGATTAGACAACATTTTCAATATATAAATGACTGTACTTCTCAAGATCATTTTTAGATGTTTTTAGGATAAAAAAATTTGATGTCTATGATATATGGCAGAATCAAATTCCATGTCATGATAAATAACTAAACGTATAGCTTCCTTTTAGAGAACACTTACAAAGTAACAGTCCAAACTATGGATAAAGATGGATCAGAGTCTGATGACTATGTCTACTTTGAAATCCATAACTGTTCAGGTCATACATCACCAGAAATATCCTTAGACAAACCTATAATCGATGACTTCGAAATTGGCAGGTTAGTGGAGAACATATTTCTATTTTTCTCTACAAACAAGGATGTAACAAAACCTGGTAATTTACTCCATGGTGTGAAATCAGAACATTCAGCTATATTAATTTTTAATAATATTCACGACTATGAGAGAACTGTTAGCAAGGGTCATCATCAAGTATATTTGGAGCAATTAAAATAACATTGGATCATTTTGACAAATAACAAGGCTGATGCAAGGCAGCTATAGGGGACTGTATGGCTTACATATGATGACCATCCTGCATCACTGTGTTATAATTATATTTTGACCCTGAAGTTACAAATATGGACATACCATAAGGTAATCACAGATTTTCTGCAGTTGCCATTATGATTTTTGAGAATTACGGGCATATTCTAGCCACAGAGCAAATGTGACATAGATATCATCAATCATTACATATTGGCAAAGTGGTCATATTCTGTAAAACATCCTTTAAGATGAACATGCCTTGGGTCATTTGTCATTCATCATCAGAAAAAGGCACCATCCAAAGTCAATCAATATCTCCCCTAATAATCAAGAAAAACACAAAGATGTATATCCAAAAGAAACAGTGCCCTCTTTTGTGCTTGTTAAGAATATCTCAGATTGTGTATAATATTTAAGACTTATGTTTTCAGTTCTGAAACCTATGGTTATACAACTTGGAACATGGGGCTAATAACAGAAGTTGCTTTTAAATTAGAAAAGTATTACTTCAGTAGTTGCTCTTGGGGATTTGATGTAGTAAGTATTTGATTTCTAAATCTCATTATTGTTTACAGGGGTATATATCTCTAAAAATCATGGGATTCCTTGTTAATTTATATTGACATCATTATTTCCATTGTTACGATCAGAGGTGAACAGCTGATGGGATGATATTCTTGGATACAGGACTTTAGCAAGGGATCTGAAAAGCAGCCCAACTAGTTTCTCAAAAGTGTGATATCAAGAAATAGATCTGAACTAAAACAACACTTAAAGCCAAATCATTGCTGCAATGCTAAAACATTGAGCCATCTTTTGCCAGCATATGACTTTATCTAATTTCAATTTTAGGTGACAATTGAGGATCCTAGTACTGGAACTGAGTATGTGTGTAGTTGCTCCTGTGATATCACATGCAACATGAACTGGGTGACCATTCCCTGCAGAACTGGTTAGTATTTATCAAACTAAAGGAATTTTACATATATGATGAACACATAAGGTACGGCTTTGTGCATTAAAATTACTTCACTAAAAGTTGTTTCTAAAATGCAATCTGATGTAAAATCTGTTTTGTGAACAGGAACTCCTCTTGAAGAAGTAGTCTGTCCAGGAGATCCAGTTCAAACCACCCAAACTCCAGCTCAAACTACCAATGATCCAGCCCAGACTACTGATTCTCAAGTTCAGATTACGGATGATCAAGTCCAGACTACCAATGATCCAGCTCAAACTACCAATGATCTGGCCCAGACTACTGATTCTCAAGTTCAGATTACGGATGATCAAGTCCAGACTACCAATGATCCAGTTCAGACTACCAATGATCTGGCCCAGACTACTGATTCTCAAGTACAGATTACTGATGATCAAGTTCAGACTACCAATGATCCAGTTCAGACTACCAATGATCTGGCCCAGACTACTGATTCTCAAGTTCAGATTACGGATGATCAAGTTCAGACTACCAATGATCCAGTTCAGACTACCAATGATCTGGCCCAGACTACTGATTCTCAAGTTCAGATTACGGATGATCAAGTCCAGACTACCAATGATCCAGCTCAAACTACCAATGATCTGGCCCAGACTACTGATTCTCAAGTTCAGATTACGGATGATCAAGTTCAGACTACCAATGATCCAGTTCAGATTACGAATGATCCAGTCCAGACTACGGACACTAATGTCCAGACTACCAATTCTCCAGTTCAGACTACACATGATTCAGTCCAGACTACTGATGATCAAGTTCAGACTACTAATGCTTCAATCCAAACTTCAGATGCAACAGTTCAGACAACTGATGTTGTTCCATACCAAACAACTCAAGTCCTATGTGTTCAGGTCCAGACTACTGATGCTACAGTCCAGACTACTGATGCTACAGTCCAGACTACTGATGCTACAGTCCAGTCTGCTAATGCTTCAGTTCAGACTACTAATGCTACAGTCCAGACTACTGCTGCTGCTACTGTCAATTCTACAGATATACCAGTCAATAATTTAACTACTCCAGTGCAAAGTACAATAACATCAGTCCAGAATACCAGTTATACAGTCCAAAGTACCACAATGCCAGTCCAGAATACCAGTTATACAGTCAATTGCACCATAATATTGGTTCAGAATATCAATGCTACAGTCCAGAGTACCAGAACATCAGTCCAGAATAGTAGTGATACAGCCATGAGTTCCATTTCACCAATACAGAATGCCAGTCATACAGTTCAGAGTACCATTACATCAGTCCAGAATACCAGTGATACAGCCCAGAGTACCATAACACCAACACAGAATACCAGTGATACAGCCCCAAGTACCATAACATCAGTCCAAAATATCAATGCTCCAATTGATTTGATAAACGATGCTTCACTATTTAAAAGAATAGAAGTATTTGTAAAGGCGGAGACTGAGGAGTTCACAGAATCGGACAAGAGACCCTCTGCTATTGTTATTGGGACTGTAGAAACTGGTATCATAATAGGGATCATTGTGGCAGTTGTTTTGTCTGACTTGAAAAAGATGTATTTAGACTTTTTCCGTTTTTCTCCTTGTTTCAATACAAATACTCTAAACATGTAACCAGACTGATTCAACCCACATGTTTATCAAGTGTACTGGAGGACCACATGTTTAAGAATATATTCATATTAGAGAAGGAATCACACCACTTCATGTTCAAGAATGTAAATACATAAGATGAGTACTCACACCACATACTTAAGAATACATATAAAGGAGGACATGTTTCAGAATAAATAATACTGTACATTAGAGGAGGACATGTTTGTAAATACATTAGAAGAGGACATGTTTTTGAACACATATACATTAGAGGACATGCTTGTAAATACATTAGAAGAGGACATGTTTTTGAATACAACATGTTTTTGAATACATATACATGAGAGGACGACAAGTTTGTGAATACATGTACATACACTGACCTCCCCAGAATTTTTTCTCAGGTGGGTTCAAAATTCTCATTTTCACAATTCAGACCAAAATTGGTCAAAATATGCTAATTTCATGATTTTTCTCATTTTAAAGTGGGTGCAAATGGATTTTCAGGTGGGTGAAGCCTATTTTCAAAATCTCAGGTGGGTGCTGCACCCTAAGTTGCTTTAACCCTTTCCCGACGTGAATATAAGAGGAAAATGTTGGCTCTGGTGACGGATAAGTAAGAGCAGTTTTTAGGGGAAAACTGCTAAATACCTACGCCCCGGGACCTATACCCTGAATTTTATCACTGAAATACAATTTTTAGTAAGGATTATCACATTAGAACAACTTGTCAAAATTTGGTGTAAAAATACTGAATAGAACTGGAGATATTGTCATTTCATTGATGTATATAGATAAAAATAATGGTGCCAAAAGGAGCCTATCGTCCTGAAAGGTATTACATAATAGGGCTCCATATGGAGCCTATCGTCGTGAAAGGGTTAATGCTGGGGAGATCACTGACATATATATACGAGGAGGACATATTTGTAAATACATTTAGAGGAGGACATGTCTCTGAGGAGGATTCATACTACTGTACATGCTTAAGAATAGGAGGAGAGGTCATGTTTGTGAATAATTGTGTAAAAGAATACAACATTAGGAGAATATACTTAGAATACATTAGACGAGAATTTACACTATATGATTAAGAATACATGTACATTTACATTAGAGGAGGACAAGTTTATGAATACACATTAAAAGACTAACTAATATTTTTGAATAAGAGTAAGAAAGAAACGACAAATCTTGATTTTGATCTCTGTTTATCATGTTTGTGCAACTTACACAAGTATATATTGATCCAGATTGAAGGAAAATATTATGGGGGAACAGGACACAGTTTTTAACAATAGAGAGGTATGATTCGGAGTATATATGTTTTGAAACCTTTTGGACATCATAGCCAAAGTTCTGAGGAAACCACAATTTCAAGCTAAGGTTCACAATTCACATCAAAATTAGTCGATCCCATAGCCCATCATATCTTTCATGATCACCATCACTATAACTAGTATCCTTCTGCTTGTGCAACAAAATTGTAAAACAGACAAAAAATTGACACAATTTTGAAATCAATGACCCAGCTTTTAGGTATCCATAGGCCATAGGCCTCTTTAACATAAATAAGATCAGACCATAATTCAATGCTTTCATTATTGTCCAATCTATGGATTATCCATTGGATAGAAAAATGCATTCGCTACATCCCTTAGAACTTTGGCAATGGAATAATAATCCTACCTGCAAAGCTGCCATTTGTTCAGCAGTTTCTGTATTCTTTTCGTCTTCAAGTTTCCTTCTCTCTTCCTCCTTGAGTTTTACTTCCTCTTGTAATCGTTTCATTTTCTCTTCCGCTTCACGGAGTCTCTCGTTGGTGAGTCTCTCCTGCTCTGCTAGCTTCTGCTTCACTAGAGCAGAGGGCGACCAGGGGATGGATGGATTCATATTAGAGTTATGTCCATGGGATGAACCTGTTGATTGACTAGTACTTCTACAATGTCTGGCACGTTTAGAAGGTGAAGCAGAACCAGTAAAATTCTGATTCGTATGTGCATCATCATTGGATTTTTTCACCTTTTTCACTTTGGCAGATGTACAGAATTTAAAGAATGCAGCATGGGGTTCATTGGTATTTGGGAGAGGTATTCCAATTTTGATGATGTCACCATCTTTCAGAGTGTATGAACCTTTCAGTGTGGTTTCATTGACCATTGTACCATTTGTACTCTGGAATGAAAACAATGGGCCAATTTCAGTTACTCATATTAAATATAAAGTACCTGCACAGTACGATAATGTTGTCTTGTCAACAATGGCAATTTGTACATATGTAATCTATTGATTTATAGAAATAAATGTTAAGTATGTAAAAAAAAGTAAGAATCAATTAATAAGCAAAACTCAAAGAGGCCAGGGCAGATCTCGAGCATTTGAGTTCTGTTTTCATTTCCTGAACATGAATTATCAGTTGAGGGGCCAAGTCAAAATATTATACAAATATTTAACTCTATTGAGGTGAATGAATACCTGTGCATCTTTCAAGCGAAAGCCCTCTGGGCTTCTTGGAATATCATCTTGCGAAAGTCTCACATGTATACACCGGAAATAGAATTAAATATTTGTTTTATTATTCACTGTTCCTCACTCACATTAATGGAAAAACAAGCTATTGTTGTCTAATTAATCATAACAATGTACTCGCAGAGATATATGCAATGGACTAAATTGTGACTTCCTTTGAATATCACTTGTTATTTTTGAGTCACGTGTAGGACATGGACCAATCAGAAAGTGAGGAATATGTCAGTGATATAATAATGATGCTTAACATAACATAACATGATGCTGCAAAAATACCCAGATTTGTTGATGGATAAAAATTTGATTCAGTCTTGGATAAAAGTAGTATATTATATGTGAGACAAGACATTAACATGCAAAATGTCACCACCTGCCATTTGTTGCAGATTCAAAACACCAAGTGCCAGACATCAAACACCATTCAGAAAAAAATTACATAAATATAACAAAATAACAGGGCTAGACAGTATATATTATAAATATTCAACTGATTATCATTCAACTGATTATCACTTACTGGGTCTGATAGATAATAAATGTTTCTGATAAATCAACCCATCTTTTGATCTATCAGAGAAACCATTGGTTGAAGTTAACAATCTGTCCATGCAAAAAAAGTATGACCTTATTGCTAATTTTGAAAAAGTACAACTTATGACATCATCAATCTAGCCAATATATTGTGGTTTCTCTGAGGGACCAAAAGATGGCACGATTTATAAGAAATTGTCTATTAAATGATTCATCACCGGTAAACAAATCAAAGAGTTTGGTCAAAATAAACCATCCATTTGAAAATTAAAAGCGTATATTTTTTATTGATCACCCCTCATACGTCAGTTGTGTTTCTAGTAAATCACCAAGGAGAAATAAGCATAAATCATGAAAATAAAATTCTAAAACGTGTAGTAACTTACCTTGTTGTCCACAACTGTCCAACTACCAGCTCCATCTTTATTAAGTATTGCATGTTTACGGGATACCCTATTCGAGTCTATTGGTATCTTGATATTTTTATCTCGTCCAATGATAACCTAGAATAATAAAACATTGTCTCAATGCAAGACTTGTTTGTTTCAATTCATGAAGCAAGTAATAAAAATGAACCATTTAGTGGGTTTAAACTGTGAAACTTAGGCTGCGTTTTTGAACTGCCGGCGGTGCTAGTGAATTGCATAATATTCAATAAGTTTTCCCCTGGTTAACACGAAAAATAACAATAACCCCCTGATGTGCAAATTACATGTTTTCACATTTTTAACAAAAATAGTTCATCCAAGCGCACTAATTATGTGTCAATCTTGTTCGCTAACTTTATGTGTCAACCACGCCAGCTTTTTGCTAGTGGATCGCAGGATTACCACTGCAATAAACCATGAGTGTAAATGTGCTTGAAAGAGCTATTTTTGTTGAAAACATATGAGCATTTTAGTGATACCTGGGGAGAAAACTCATTAAAATATCACGCAATATCCCAGATGCGAGTAGAAATAATCTTGATTTACATCATTAAAAATTCACAATTCAGTCAAACTGATGTCATATTTGGTATCTACATGTAAAATTACATTTAGAATGTGGTTTTGAAAAGAGTTTATCAACTTTGAAAATTTAATTTTCTTTGAAAATGTGACTTCTAGGTTGGGAAAATTCCTCATAGACCCCATGTTGTAAAACCACGAAAAGCGAAATATCTTTTCTTGTGTTGGGCAGATAATATTTTCTTTTACTGGACGTATTTTAATTTGTATAACTATCAGATACATAAAGGTAATATGAAAATTGAACCACTAAAACTGTAATACCCTGCCAAGTTAATTCCCCCGAATCAGCCACCTGGTGGCGAAACTAGTAACTACCTACTCGCATCTGAGTTATTCACTAGCACCGCGAGTATACAGAAATACAGCCTTAATGCAGCCCTAGGTTAATGATCTCCTTTATTGACTAATTATCAATAATTTACTATGGAGGGAATACAGAATGTATGTAGCTACTTTTTGAAAATGTTAGTGACAATTATCATTACTATTTAAAAACCATGTCAAGTTGTAAAGTAAATTGAGCAGATAGAGAAAACCTGAAAACCTGAATCTCATTCTGAGACTTCTCAACATCAATTAAGATGCAAACAACCACCATGTGTCTAATTCAGGGCAATTTTCATGTACTGTGGCCATTTGAGGTATGTATGTAAAGCTGAGCATAAGTACTTTCTAAATGTACTATTCTTAGAAAAAATCGCAAGAATATAGTCCCGCAAACTGGAACTACTTTAATTCGTTGATTTTTATGGGTGAAGCAGGAATTTTACCTAAAAATGAGTCTCTACGGTGGCGTAGTGATATTTAAAAATTGAGACACAAACCCTATGTTAAATATAGTGTCAAGATGAAGGTTATGTATAGGGGAACACAGAAATATAGTCATTGTATGGACCAATTCGTTTGAAAATGGCGATATGTACCCCAAACTTGAATTTTTTCAATATTTTTCAATGAATTTACATCTTTTCATTTCCTGAAGTTCTGATACGTCATATTACCGAACATGTGCAGGCCTGTCAACTGTCCCGCAATTTGCGTATTTGTCACGCATTTGCTGAAGAATTTGAAGTCACGCCAGTTATTTTTGCGTGACAGTGATTTCTGTCACGCAAATACGCATTTTACCTGGTAATTGTCAAGCAAAAATATTTCTGTAGAAAAATTTCTAAAAAAGATCGTCTACACCGCAAAAATACGAACGCCGAAAAAAAACGTACGTATTTTGTTCGGACTTTTCACGCGAATTACGTATATGTCACGCATTCCGTTCGAAATTTTTCGTACCTACCCCCCCCCCCCCCCACCCCGTTGATGGATGTTGCAAACGCGAGCACGAAAAATTTGAGGTGTTCAAAATTTGGCAAGATGTAATAAAATTTAAACCAAGGTGTTCAAAATTTGGATCAAGGTGTTCAGATTTGGACCAAGGTGTCCACATTTTGAGGGGAGGTGTTCAACATTTCCAAGTCACTCATGTTAGGTGTTCCCAAGTTGACAGGCCTGCATGTGTGAAAATGAAATGTTTGTTCGATCTCTCGTAAAATGAATGAACAAACATTCCATTTCACACATGTTCGGTAATATAACGTATCAGAACTTCCGGAAATGACAAGCCAGTCGGAACATTTTTGAGAATTTTTACATTCGTTTACATTTCTTGTATAACTGTATTTATTGTTGATCAGACGGAAAGATAAGCTGATGTGGTACCATTGGAGTTTGTTTACTACCATTTGAAAGGCACGTGAGGGTCCCATTCATCAGTTAACACTTATATGTCAAAGTTACTGAAGTTCTTGCCTTTTTAACACTGTAACAAGGAGTAGGAATATTTTCATGAAAAAAGTAGTAAGTTGACAAGCCTGACACATGATCTGTCTGGCATCTTTGAATTGGAACAACAAAAATAAAAAAATATCGCAATGGTTGAATTCATTAAGAAATTCAATGAATCAATTCACGATCTAATCTGTAGGCCTGCCCTGCCTAAATCTTACTACATTTGCACATAGCCATCTTTTAGATAGATCTTTGTGCAAACTAAGTAACCTAGAAAAAAAAATTGAATAGATCTATTATGCCCTGAAAATTTAATTTTTCAATAATTTTTTGCAAATGACACCTACTGCATTATTCAGAAGGCAATGTTCCAAACGTGAAGATTAGGAAAAAAACTTAGTTTACCTCCGCCAAATCTTCCAGTGGTACAATCTTAATGATTTGGGTAATATTTGTTGGTTTTAATTGCAGTAAACAGCAAATTCGAGTTGACATTTTTCCCGGTGTTGGGGCTTGTCATGATTATTGAATCACCACATAAGTTATTTTATCTGATCGATTTGTGTGATCAAAATCATAGGCTAAGGGTTAAGTAATAGTAAGCTGTATATATAAGAGACAGGTGAACAACTCTGACTTAGACCACTTGTTAAGATGGAGATTTCAACAATATTTAGTGTATTATTTTCAAAAAGCCATGGGGAGTTGATATAAAATTGATAGTTTGTAGCTCTTACCTAAGATTGAAACTCAGTCAGATGATATAGAGTGAATAATGCTGTCTAAAAGAGAGAATTTCTGAAAACCTACAATTGCCTGGCAAGTTCATTAGTAAACAAGTGATCTGATTGGTCACTGCTGACCTCCCTGACCTCCACCAGTGACAATCAGTTTCAGCTTGCCAGGCAATTGTAGGTTTCCATAGTTGTTGTTTTATATGCAGTATAATATGCAGTTTTTAGATAAAGATTTGAAAAAAACAATGATATAAGTTTGAAAAACACTTTGAAGAAGATTTTGGAGAAATTTTGGAATAAAATTTGATACCAGTAAGGAGAACTAGTGCCAAGACTAAAAAAATTTGAATAATTTTCAATCTTACTTGTGGACCTGTCTCTTATATATACAGCTTACTATTACTTAACCCTTAGCCTATGATCAAAATGATGGCAGATGAACGGCATGAAACATCATAACTACAGGGTTTATAATCAACGATGTTATGGAATGTAGATAGATCATATATTCTTGGATTACTAATTGTTAGATCATTTTTAAAAAACGAACAAGGCGGTCATATATTTTGTGCAATAATGACACTTTCTTGCGCATGCGCTAGATTCATTTCCGTTTGTCAAAAAATATTTGCAAGGAACATTTTCTTTTACGTTTTTATTACTTTACACGAAGAATCCGTTACATCGTTTCACACAACTGTAAGTACATTTTCATTAACATATTTTGAATTGATTCATCTCGAATAATCTTGTGAAAACGCTGGCTTACATGTTGTCTGAAGCCTTGATTCTTCAATGTTTACTTTTGTTTTCCTGAACTTTTGCAAATTATGCAAGTAGGAAACTTACCTTGGATACCACAGTTAGCGTCATCTAGATACCATCCTATATTTAACAGAAGTCCTGGGGCCATGAATTTGTACGATCCAAGAATTTATCCGTATAAATTTTATCTTTTTGGATTATTGATCTGGATTATATTTGGTGAATTTGTAGGATACTAGGATTTTAGATGGAATCCCCAAGATAGACCTATATACAATTGGAATTTTGATAGAATTTATCCGAAAAACAATCTACCAACCTAGGTGGATTGAGATTTGGAAAAAAGTTATCCTAAAGATGGCACAAATTCACCGGGACAAATTCACCAATGTTTGGATAAATACCAAGATTAATCCTGCAATGCATCATTATCATGACAAAATTTATCTGGATCGGATCATGGATCGTACAAATTCATGGCCTCTGAAAATCTTCGAAAATTTCAAATAATTTTGTGAATGAGATTCAGTCTGAATTTATTTAGATGAAGGATACAGTCTACCCCCCTCAAGTTTGCAATTGCATAATTCAACTATATTACTCTATTGCACCTCCATTATTTTTAGTCTCAAAGGTCAGTAGGACATCCAATTGCTGAGATTCAAAATATATAGCCACATTTAGGGATTTTTTCTCTAAAAATGGAACCACATCTAGGGGTTTTCTTTCAAAAATAGACCCACTTTAAGGTATTATTTTCCAAAACAATTCCCAGTTTTAGGATTTTCAAAAAGTAGACCCAGTTCTAGGGATTTTTTCATCAAAATGGGAACTATTCATTTGTTAAACATCCATGATGCTTCGCTACATGACATATTGGACTGAGGAATGGGAATGGCATGCCAAAGGGGGGACTAGGACATGCTTGAATATCGGTGTGAGGTCGGGTTCGGCCGAGTAAGCGCCTCCTGCTGTATACTCCCCGTCCATATGAGCTATCATATGGAACACCTGTGGTCTGGTGGTGGACCACATAAACAAGCATTGTTCTAGTGGGACTTAGGTGGACTGGGTCGCCTTTGGGTTCCACTTATCTCTTCTTCTGATCCACAGCCATCTGGAGCTGTCTTCTGCTGCTGAGCTGATAGACTTTAAGGCACTCTTGAGCTCCTTGGGTTGCAATCCTATCTTGGATAATAGGGTTCTGACTGATGTTGCTGGAAACCCCCTGCAACCAACTTCGATAGGGAAGACGGATGCGTGCCACCCTCTTGTCTCAGCTTCGTCTTTAAGGTCTTGATACTTTGTTGCTTTGATCTCGTGTGAAACCTCTAGCCTATCCTCCCATGGGACTGTTAGTTCGATGATGATAATGGTCTTGGTTGAACTGGAAGTCATAACCATGTCTGGGCGCAGGGTTGTTACGGCCACATTCTGTGGGAAGACTAGTTTCTGATAGAGATCTACCTGGAGTTGCCAATCTGTTGCTTTGGCTAAAATGCTTGGCTTGGGTTGTGGTTTGGGGGTCTTTGCAGCTTTGGGTTTTCCTTCCCTGATAAATTCTATTTGCTTTTGCCGTTGAGTGATGGAACCTCTATTGGCAATGCCTCTTTGCTGGTCTATGTACTTAGAGACTTCTTGGAGTACCTTGTTATGTCTCCATGTGAATCTTCCTTCACTCAGGGATTGGGGGCAAGAGCTGAGGATGTGTCGCAGGTTGCAGCAGTCTCCCTTACAAAGTGCACACTTGTCAGAATCTTCTTTACCCCATACTCTCAAATTGGCTGGCGTTGGTAAGAGGTCAGTGAATGCGCGCAGAAGAAAGCTGAGGCGACCCTGATCCTGGGTCCAAAGCTCTTTCCAAGTAAGAGGTCTCTGTAGAGCTGCCTCCCAGTTGGTCCATCTTCCTTGTTTGGCATCCACATCTAGGGATTTTTTGGTGAAAAGGTGACCCACTTTAGTGGCACATCCCCATATAGCCAATACATGGGAGTATCCCCCCCCTCTTTCCCTTTGACCTTGCAAATTTTACTTTTTTAGACCTCAGTAGATATTTTTGTGTTAAAATATACCCAGAATCCAAAAAATCAATCTGAAAAATTAACTTTTAGACCTTCCTAAAGTCACCGAAGGTCAACCAAAGGTCAAATCTCGAGAATGAGGTCAAATATGAAATCCCGGGAACTTGTAGATGGTTTAAAAAAAAAATTGGTCAATTTGAAGCAAGTTGAAATTTGATCTTGAAAAATTTCAAAAGGACTATTCTTGGTATGAAGAACGAAGTTTATCACTCTAATTGCTTCGGACAGTTGTGAAATTTTTACATCTTGTAGATTTACATCTTGTAGATTTAAATGTCCTCTTTTGAATATTCATTATTTAATTTGGGTGATATTTCTAAATTTTTCATAAAATATTATTAGCCCAGGAGACTGTTCTCAGAAGCGAGACTTGTCCTTTGACCTTTTTCAGTTTTTGAACTCTTATATCTCAAAACTGGTGCAAAATTTTTATATATAGTCAATTGCTAATATGTGTATAACCTTTAGAAGTTAACCTTAACTTTTGGATATATATTATCCTGACTTTCATCCAGAATATTGATTTGTAGTCTCTAACTTTGAGAAACTTATAACACTAAACACAGTTTGTGATTTAGTTTGATGACCTAGACCTTTGACCTTGCAAACATTACTTTTGTAAACCTCAGTAGGTCTTTTGTGATTAAATATACCAAAATTTGAATTCAGAAAAGCAATATGAAAATCATCTTTTTTACCATTTGAGCCCCGTTGTGGCCACCTAATAACAATATATTAGAACACAATTAGATGCAGCAATGCATATTATGTTGCACATTGTAACAGTAATACTTATTTCACGAGTATTACCTATAATGTGACAATTTACAAGTAGGCATAAAAATGTCAAAATGTTAATTGAATTCATATATTGTTTGTAACATGATTGAGATGGATAATGAAACCAACTCTTGTTTTTCTGACCAAAAACCAACATGGGTTGATTTTTATAATCCATGATGTTTACATGAGTCTTGTCATCAATTCCAAATAGTCACTGAAACATTAAAATGTAAATTTTTGAATCACAGGCTGGTATCGAAATATTTGTCCGCTGTGACGGAGCATGCTTTTTTTCATAAAAACACTAAGAATGCTTCACGATTTATTTTTTAACTCATATGTTTCGTTATATCAAAGATAATTACTTACTCCATGTAATGGATATATCATTTGCGTGTCACCTTCACTTCTGTTTGAAGTCCAATAACGCTAGGAGTAAAATCTATTGAAAATGGCGCCAGAGTACCAAACTCTAAAATGTACCATTTATTTTTTAACTTTTTAATGGCATGATATAGTGACACGATAATATTAACATATGTTTTCAGCATATCTCTGAATGTATTAATGAGATATTAATGCATTGGGTCTTTTTAATTTTTTTATAAAAAATAATATTAATATTTTTTGTCCGCTGTGACGGAGCATTTTCACAGTTCACATTTGCAACTGCTCCGTCACAGCGGACAAAAAAATTAAACATTATTTTTTTATAAAAGAATTAAAAAGACCAAATACATCAGCATCTCATTTATACCTTCATAGTTATGCTGAAACCATGTGTAAATATTATCGTGTCACTATATCGTGCCATTAGAAAGTTAAACAAGAAATGGTACATTTTGAAGTATGATACTCCGGCGCCATTTTCAATAGCTTTTCTTCCCAGCGTAATTGGACCTCAAACAGAAGTGAAAGTTACCCGCAAGTGATATATACATTGCATGGAGTAAGTAATTTTGTATGGTATAACGAAACATATCAGTTAAAAAATAAATCGTGAAGTATTTTTAATGTTTTTATGAAAAATAGCATGCTCCGTCACAGCGGACAAATATTTCGATACCAGCCTGTGTGAATTCATATATTTATAGTGTATAACTGTGTTGAGATGGGTAATGAAGCTGACCCTATCCCACATGAACGACCTCCAACTCCAACCAAGATTCTAAGGGTGGAAGAAAGCTTATGGACAAGAGTGATTCAGTTCATTGATTCTGTCAAAAAGGCTGCCTTTGTATTAGGAACTGCTCTTATTGTATTCAGTGCTCTGAGGAATTCTCTTACATGGTAAGATACAAACATAAAGTACATGTGTTAAGCTAGGCAAAGAAACAAACACTTTACTATGAGGCATATTGGTATCTGTTACACAGATGCTATGTTACATTAAGCATTTTAACAAACAGCTTCATAATAATATGAAAGACCAGAGAGATAGCCAGACATTCTGCCTACCTTGGCAACATTCCCTTCCAGCAGGTTCCCAACCTTAGCTCCCTCATTAGATTACATAGATTCTTATATACATATTATGATAATATGTGTTAAAAAACTACTTAGTTTTAAACCTGGAAATGTAAATTATTGATTTTCTTAACTGTCTCTGACTAAAACAGATAGTTTTTAGAAGTAACAAAGTTATACTGTATGTCTTCAAAGTCGCAATTATATTTCAAGAAACTCTTCCCATTGAAATAACACAGGAACCAAAAAATGATTTTCAAAAATGACTTTGAAGCAATGTAACTTTGATGTTCAAAAAAATGTCTAAAATCTCAGCTTGTAAAAAGTTCAATTCAGTTTTCTATATTAGTCATCAATTTCAAACCTAAAAATTGAAAAAATTTGAAATAATAAGAAATACAGTCAATTTATATCTCTACTTTTGGATCAATATTTCTAGTACAAATTATAAAAAGAAATTGAAACATAGCTTGGTGATAGGACCATTGAATTGAATGACACTGTACAACATTTAGGCCTGCCTTTAGTGAATAAGTCACATATTTCCCACGTTGAAAACTCCCTTTCAAAAGGCAGAAGAGCTATCAATGCCTATATTGGAGTGTCATCCACTGTTAATAATCCTACAAATCCTCTCACTGTCTCTCGCTTATATTGGACATGCTGTGTCCCATCTATAACGTATGGTATGGAACTCTTACCACTTAAAGAATCTGAGTTAGAGTGCCTTGAAAGTGGCCACAGGGGAATAGCTAAGAAAATTCAAGGAATCCCCAAGACCACTAGCAACGAAGCCTCAACTTCAATTTTAGGATGGCATTCTTTAACCTCGAACATTGTTATAAGTAAACTTATGCTTTTATGGCAACTTTTATCTTTTAACCATTTCCAAGTATTTACAAGAAACTTATCATTTTATGTCTGCTTAGTGCAACATACGAAGATCTCAACAAATTTCTCCTATAGGGAATTGTATTAAGATGGCAAAAGCATATCAGCTAGATGAAATGGTCTATGAAATGTTTAATGGACGCGTCTATTCAAAGTTACAGTGGAAAAAATTGTGAAGAGTAAGGTACATTTATTCGAATTACGTAACTGGCAAATTGAATGTATATTGTCAAGAAAATTGCCATTGTTCAGAATTGTAACCCATGACATCCAGCCTATAATATGGTGGAAGGTAGCTAAATTAGATCCTAGAATTTTGAAGTGTTGCAGGACTGTGGTTAAACTTCTGTTGGGAGAAGGCAACATAATGATTAATGTCAATAGGTAGTCTAACGGAAAGATTTCCGTATTATGTAAAATGTGCTATAAAGAACCAGAAACACTATCACACATGATACTGGCCTGTGAAGGTCTTTGAAAAATGTATATAATATCTTCAAACCAGCACAAAATTATCCGAAAGAGATGATTCTTGGAGCAATTTTTGGTGCAGGGGAGATATTTGATGTCAAGGAATATAAGAAAATTGCTGTTTACATCCATAAAATGTGCATAAATAGACCAGAATCTGGTCTGTAACTAAAATTAAATTGTATATTATATATATATGTTATAATTATAAGTAAATAATGTAAAATTTATTTAAACACATAAAATATGGTGGATGAAATAAATAAAAAAAAAACAGGCTTTAACATGTAATTCAATGAGGGGAGCTAATATTGCCAAACTTTTGGAGGTTAGTGTACATGTAAAGACCTGAGAAATATACCCTGCGTGCAGAGTCTAGTTAAACTACACTCTGCCTAGCAGAGACCATATTACAGTTTAGTAGCCCCGCCCCCACGACGGGTACCGGTGACAGTTTGGGTAAATCACTTTTGACCTACGCGCTGACTTTCCACCAATCAGCGAGCTTGAAGAAACATGCGCCAAATGTGTTCTAATTAAATATGCGCATGTCATTGGTCAATTCCGGGCTCAACGATGACGTCAGAAGGAATGACCATATAAAGAACGTCGGTCAAATTTGGCCGACGAACACTGATTGGCGCGGTGAGTTCACAGGTTTATTTTAGTTTGAAAGAGTGAAGACGAAGCTCTCTTTTAAGAAGTGAAGTCAAACGAATGCAAAGGGTATGAGAAATAGAGTCAGTAGAGAGGTTTATGTGCTTGGATGGGAAGAAAAGTAGATAACAATAGGTGACTAATTCAAAATCAGGCATCCAGGATATCATCTCATGCATTCAGAAAATGGGAATTAAATCTAATACAGTAATTACTGAATCTCTAATTGCTACATACAGGGTGTCCAATAAATAAGGTAAATGATATTGTAACTTCCTTAATATTGCACCAATCTTGATGAAATTTTCAGAGTTTGTAGCCCAAACCTTTTTACCTTTATTCTGTGAATTTAAAGCGTCTATCATGTGATTGGCCAGAGTTGTGGTTGCTATAGCAACCGAAACAACAAAAGGGCGGGGCACTTAATTGTAGTTACTGTCATCTTATTATTTCCAAAATGATGATGCATTTTGAACTGCAAAACCACTTATGAAATTCAACTGACACTGGATGTATACATATGTAACCAAGGTAATTGGTTGTTAGGTGGCCTCTGTGATGTCATAGTGCTTCTTTGTTGTATTTTATGATGTTATTGAGATATCTTTACTAATAACAAAATTTATGCATCACAATGAGATATCATCATATCCCAATGTGTTGTGAAACCCAAAGTTCAAGATGGCACTGGGACAATGCCCCCTCACACACAGCTATGCTCACCCGTGAAACTATTAAAGCACTGGGGCTACCCCTACTTGCACACCCTCCATATTCCCCAGACCTTGCACTCAATGACTTTTACTCATATACAGAACTCAAGCGTGACTTGAGAGGAAGCACTGATGAACTCAGATCACATGTTTTAGCAAAACTTCAGGAATTGGGCAAGAATGAGTTTGAAAGTGTGTTTAGAGAGTGGGTGAATAGACATAAGAAGTGTATAGCTAGAGATGGACATTATGTTGAATAGCTTATTTTCCATTACAATGGGACTTTAGGACTGTTTTTATATTGTATTTATAGTAGTAATAGACTTGGGAGTATGAATAAAGCTATCAGAAAAAATAAATATGTTTTGGAAAGTTGTGACGTAAACAAACTTGCCCCGCCTTTTTGTTGTTTCGGTTGCTATAGCAACCACAACTCTGGCCAATCAAATGATAGACGCTTTAAATTCACAGAGTAAAGGTAAAAAGGTTTGGGCTACAAACTCCGAAAATTTCACCAAGATTGGTGCAATATTAAGAAAGTTACAATATCTTTCACCTTATTTATTGGACGCCCTGTATACATTAACTCCATTGCCTGTAGTTATTTGGTTTGGCAGAACCACAAATGTGATGTATTTGCTTTCTTGTTAATTGATGATGGCTACTTTCAGTAATACAATAAAATTATATAGCTAGGAATTATTAGCGTCATGGTGTTGATTAAAGATACAGTGTACAAACTTGCTCTAAAACATAACTTAAAGTGTATTAGTGGCAGTGGTAGTAGTAATGTCATGTATTAAATGCAAGATTCGAAATTCCAGCTCCAAATGTTCATATAATTTGTAGGGTTTTGTAATGTTTTGTTTGTTATCGGGTTGTGTTATGACATCAACAATTTCAATTTTTCATGATTGAATAATCCCTTTTGTGCCCTTTTCTGGTCATTTGTGTCATAAATATTTAGAGTTGGCTCAGTTTATAGGTAAAGATGACTCAATGTTTTGGGTAAAGTTTATTATAAGGACTTCTCCACGAGAGACAAGTATCCATGGCACTGTTTTAATCATAAGTTACAGTCATTGTTTTATTTTCAAAATACATGCATACCTCAAACTTATTTCTGTACTAAAAGCTTGAGGATGTCTGTACCTTTAATTATTTCCCACATGGAAATTATTTTATTATTTGCTTACCCTGATATGTTCATGTATGTGGTTATTTTATTTTTTACTATATATTATTAAAATGATGTAAGTTCTAATGCCATTGTCTGTAAATAATAATATCATTTCAATGAGAATTTAGCAATGACATATTCAATAACCTTTGGATTTATTTTTAGGCATTTACAAAATGTATGGGGCGCAAGTGGGGACTTTTGGGAGAGCCTATGGAACAGTGTGATTGAGGCCTATTCTGGTGACTACTTCAAAACATTTGTGTATGGTATGCTACCAGTTTATGACTTATGCCTAAAATATTAGAGTGATTGTTATTGTGTCTTAATATGCTCAATATTTAATTAGCATATCTTTGGAAAGAAGCGTATCTTTGAATGGAGGGTGCTCAGTAATGATATACATTAAAATACAGTAAATATACTGTTTATTTCAAATGCCACTGGGACCTGCCAAAGGTGTTTGGGTTTGGCAAAGTGTTCACATGTTGAGGTTTTTTAACATTGAAGTCTTTGATAGATTGAAAAATGGGACTAAAAGGTCTTCACATTGAGAGGTCTTAAAAGGTGTTCAGATATACAGATTTCACTTTACCAATGATTGAGCATTATTCAGTTATGATTGTTCGAAATGATTTTGTTTGAATAGATGCATACTAGAGATGTAAATAATTATTGTGCATGTTTCATTTAAATTACAATATTTTTGTTCAGGGTACTTCTATCATGGTTCTTTTTTTCAGGGACATTTTTGTGGAGCAATGGAATGTTTTGGTTGTTCAATTTATTCTTCATCTTTGTTGATCTTACGGGTATGCCCTCCACTGTGCTGAAATACAAGATACAGCAGGATAAAAATGTACCTGTAAGTTGCTTACATTTTGTATACACCTGAACAATAAAATCTGTCAAAAGTGAATGCTGGCGGGACCAGTTAAAAGTGTTCACATTGAGTTCACCATTATAAATCTAATAAAATGAGAGATTAGGCCTGTCAGACAATTTTCCCAAAGAGGGTGCAGTTTCAGATTTTTACCTGAAGTAGTTGTATGATATCAGAGATAATTTACTGCATAATGACTTCATTCCCGGAAATGGACAAGCACGGTATAAGCTATAAAGATCATGATTGTGTACGAAATGAAAAAAAAGAACTGATTGCTGTAATATGGAGTTCTTTCCCTGGTCATTTTTTCTGAGATTTCTGATTTCGCCCAAGTCACCCTACCCCCATTTGGAGGGCCTATATGACGGGAGATTATTTAATGGGACTTAAAGTATTTACATAAGATCTTTACCGCTCATTATCTAAACACAGTACTACATAATTCCACACATTCAATAAAGGTGGAGCTGTGGTGGTAGACACATGTGAAATAATTCAACATATAATTAAATCATTCCTGAAAAACTCTATCAATATACCATGTTCATTGTTACAGCTGGACAAAGGGATGTTCCTGAAAGGTGTAAAACGTGCCATATTCAACCAGACAGTTGTAGGCTTCCCTGTCATATTTGCTGCCTACTTGCCCTTCCTCTGGAAAGGTTGTTCTATTGCCACTCAAGACATGCCTACTTTCCAGTGGGTCGTCTTTGAGGTGTTTATTTTCTCCCTGGTTGAGGAAGTTGGATTTTATTATGCTCACAGGTAAGAATTTTCTCTAGATTAAAGGAACATTCCTGGCCAGACCATTTCTCTCCTAATATGGTAGCTATAACCATATACGAGGGTATATCATAAAGTTCTCATAATATCTCTCTTTTTTTTTATTTTTCAATATATTCTAATGAAATTTTCATAGAATCTGCAATATAGAATACTGTATTAATCTGTCAAAAAATATTTGGTATAACAGATATATTAGGTAAGTAATGGTTGCCATAGTAACGGGAAATCAGGTCACCCGGGGCAAAAATAAATAATTGAGAGAATAAGCTTAATTAACCATGTTTACATTCATAATAAACTCTCATAAATTATCAAACACATTGAAATGTTATTTTGAATATGTTGTTAAATGCTTTTACTATAAAATAAATCGAGCATGTGAATTGTGTGATGTCATAGGGGATGCTTACATGCTTCATAAATTTGATACCAGACTCTGAGAATCAAAGCTTAATGACTGAGAAAAATCATGCATAGATGCAGAGATCATCAGAAAAATAAAATTCATACTGATAAAAAGTTCAGTTAAGTTCGAAAAATCCTTTGCTCATACTAAAGATGATCTAAAACAAAAGGTTGCAAAGATATCAACAAAAGTACACCCTATGTATGGTCTAAACATATTTAAGATGAACTAAGAGGGGAATATCGACTTTCCTAGGAATGTTTGACAAAACAGTTGTGGTGTCTAACATCACTTCTAATGACGCATTACAATCATCCATTATGAGATCACACAATTCACATGACCATTATAATAGTTCATAACAGTCAAGAACACATATGATATTTAACAGTTTGATGTGTTTCATAGCTTATTTGATAACTTATCATGCATTTAAACATGGTTAGTTGGGGGTATTCTTGCACGATTTTTTATTTGCCCCGGGTGCCTTGATTTCCGGTTACTATGGCAACCATTTCTTAAATAATATTTCTATTATACCAAATATTTTTAAATAAATTAATACAGCATTCTATACTACACATTCTGTGAAAAATTCATCAGATTATATTGAAAAATAAAAAAAATAGAGAGATATTATGAGAACTTTATGATATACCCTCGTATATACTTTCCATATTTAGCAAAACAGGGAAAAATGTTTTAATATAGTCAATATTGATCACTTGAAAATGCAGTGCTGAATTCCAGTAGGCTGCCATCTTTTATATTAGTATTTCACTCAGGAGTGATGTCATCGACTCTCAACTTTGCATATAACATTATAATTATAGCCAGGAATGTTCCTTTAATACCCATTGGCTAAATTTTGTACATTGCGATTCTTGGAAAACCATTGTATTTTTTACATGAAAGATGACCAGTTGAAATCTTAATTTGAGTGAGCTTACTAAATTGACCCTAGCAGGGGTGTAGCCAGCTTTCAGTCAGGGGGTCCTGATCTCCAAAGAAATTTTGGTTTTCAGTCGGGGAGGGGGGGGGATTGTGGCATAGTCAAGCCAAAAAATAAGATTTATTTCAAATTTTACAAAAATTGATGCAAATTCCTTCAAAATTGAGCTAGAAGCTTCATATGAAAAGCATTTGAAAGCTCTTTTCTTCTTCTTTCTCATAGTTTGGTTTTGATTGGTTGTCGCACTGCAGTAATCCTGATAAACATTGAAGCCAAAGCTATTAAAAATACGGAAAAACAGCTGAAAAGTATACCTATCCGTAAGAAAATAAACCCTTGAAAAAATAATAAATCATTCAGAGTTGACATTTTCCAATTTTTCAGACTGTATAGATGGTAAAAAAAAGTCCAAGGAGTGCTAAATCATCCATGATCACATGACACTAGTTATTTTGCTTTTTAGATTGTTTCATCATCCAAAGTTGTACCGCCATATACACAAAGTACATCATGAGTGGACAGCCCCTATTGGCCTGACATCTATATATGCCCACCCTCTAGAACATGTACTATGTAACCTTATCCCGGCAATTGCAGGTAAGAATCAAATATCTACCACAGAGCATGTTAATAGATGCTTATATGTTTTATGTACAGAGATTTTAAAATGGGAAATTGATCCAAGAACCTTTCCAGATAAAATTCACAAATAATAGAGTGAGTACTGTAAAATTGACTGGAACAGTAATTGAACAAATTCTTATACAAGGATGCTAAGAAATCTTACTCAGTCATGAGCTCATACAATTTGATTAGAAGTGAATAAATTGCATTTTACAAAGGCTTTAAATGTCAGAATTGGAGATCATTTACAATGTACCATAAACTTTTAATATAAACATTGATTAAGATTCCATAAAGAAAAGAGATTTTCAATTTATGCTTTTTTATATGATGTCTTAGGTCCTTATATAATGGGTTCTCATGTGTCTACACTGTGGTTGTGGTTGAGCCTTGTGATTGGATCTACAACAGTCTCTCATTGCGGCTACCATCTACCCTTCCTTCCCTCTCCTGAGGCTCATGATTATCATCATCTCAAGTAAGAATAACCTCTCTTTTTGTATTTTTTCTGAATTTTTACGATAATCAGTTTAAGAGAAAAGTGTTGAATTCAATTCACCAACTCATAAATGGACCTTTCTAAATTGCTATTATGGTCTCATGTAAAACAGGGTTTATCACTCTTACCAAATACATACAAAAAGGGTTCTGATACATTGATGGTTGTTACAAATGGCAGGTAGTGACATTTTGCATGTTAATGCCTTGTTTAAATGATGACATACAATATGTAACTTTATCGTATGATCTATAAAATGAAGCCTTCTGATTGGTCAGTTCTTGTGCTGTACCAATCTGTATTGCTACTGAGATTGTCCCCATTGATAATCTCCGTCACAATACAGAAAATATTGGTACGGAGGGGACATTCTCAGTAGCAATACAGAGGATCACACGATAAAAACGTTTTAGAATGAACGATATTCTGTATTGGCACTCGACTTCGTCTCGTTCCAATACGAAATTTGTCGAGCAGAATATATCCTGTATTGCACTTAAAATCATTCAATAACTTATAGTATTGTATTGCTGTTATGTTTATTTATTTGGAAACTACAATATTCCAGGTTTTATTGAGTTTTGTGTATTATTTCAGATTCAATCAGAATTTTGGTGTCTTGGGGGTACTAGATCGCCTTCATGGTACGGATGCTTTATTCCGGGCCAGCAAACAGTATTCCCGTCACGTCTTACTGCTTAACACCACCCCACTGTTACAACAGTTTCCCGATGATCCAAAGCAACAAAAACACCAAGATTAAACTACTAAACCCCTTTCTGCAGTTCCTAGGATTTGAAGAAAAAAAGAATATAAAAGAAAATATTTATCTTACAACCTACCTATTATATCCAACCTACCTATTATAAGCAAAACAGTTTTCATAAAGTTTTTACGAACCATATACATGTATTAATCCAAGATTCCCATTGAATTTAAGACCTTTTGTGAAGGACAGAATTGTTTGCTTAGAAAATCCATTCATAATATAATTTAAAGCTTGTTTGAAAGTGCACTTTTTTAAAAGTGGTAAAAATAAGCAACACTCATTCTACAAAGGTCTTAATTTTATTGTCTTGGATAATTTCTACTGCAGAGTCAGTGTTATATACAACTTATACTATAGTTGTACATCTACTAATACCAAAGTTGCATATTTCAGTATTTCTGACATGTTCCTTCTGGGAACTTTATAACCATTTCTGTATTTGTATTTAGAGATATTTTCATTATTATGATTATATCTTGTAGTAATGAGGCTTTGCCACAAAGCTAATTTTATTTGATGGTTGGAGGGGGATAAAAGACTATTAGCTAGTTTCATTTATTTAGTGCCATGAATATCAGTCTTTGGGTCAAATTAAACAGGATTCATTCTTTTATCAGGACATAAACCATTTTTGGCTAGTTTCAGTCAGGGGACTCTCCAGGATGAGGTACATGTAATCCCAAAATATCATTCTTAAATAGAAGCCCCAATTGCAATTTTTAAGGATTTGTTCCTGATGAGAAAAATTCATGTTAGTTTAGATCGAAAAACCCTACATTTGCACAATAATTTCATCTCGGAGATTCAGTTGCGCTAATATGGGCTTTTTTGCATTAACCAATAACCCTGAGGAAGTCCCATAATCTCAAATGGATATACTTATTTTGTAAGCCTAGTACATGTATATAAATCCCAGATTTTGTTGTATTGTAGTCAAGTAAATTAGCCTTGTGGCTTTGTATTTATTAATATTTTGATGTTGTACCTCAAATGATGAGATCTGATAAAACATAAAATTACTATATATATATTATTATTTATATAACAACTGAGAGTATTCGTTGTATGAAAACTGCTTGCCATATTGCCATGACAACATATAGTTTTTCACTGTATTTTATAGGGGAGAGAAATTCTTCAACATGCTTCATTCTTCGACTTTTTAATCAAATTCCATTAATCTACATATCAATATTTGAAGGATACATATAAGCCTATAACAAGGATATAATTGTAAAAACTGACAATTACAGGGTGTATCAAAAAATGTACCAAAAAGTATATCAACAGCATAGATAAACCAATGCTTTTGGGAACATTTTTTGAGACACCCTATATATGTTTGTTTGAATGCGAGAAGGTACACAATCTGTAAGGTGATGACATCTAGGGTTTAAAGACAATTTCAGTATTTTAATGAACAAACAATCAGTGTCAACAAAATCAATGCAAAATATGACCATATGTATTAATCCATTTCAATTATACTTTAACTTGCTTTGGTATTACTCCTAGTCCAGATGTACATAAATATACACATAGATATACATGGATCATCCATTGTTCCATTGTGCAGTAAATCAGTTTGATTTTATTAAAATGTTCAATATTAGTGGATATGTATCATATTTAGCTTCATGTAGGGAGCATTAGGGAACAAATTATATATATAGTATAATTAGTAATTATATGGCATCCATAATAATGTGTTTGGGACCATGTGTAGATTATCAAAATATTTTTATTTTGGCAAAAACTAAAACATGAAATTCGAACAACTTAATTGATTTTCAAGATTTGTCCCAATGTTACTTTTTCTGAAACAATGTAACAATGCAAGGAGTTATACATTATTTTGTGAAACTAGTAGTATATATTCAGTATACAGCTTAATTTATTCATTTAGCCATATATTTTATGTTATAAAAATGTAGATGTACATCTTTTATTCAAAGACATAATTATATCTTTGTTATTACAATTATATTATTTTATTAGAATAGGGTTTTTACCCTCCAATAAAGTGGCATTCTAATTTAACATAAAAATCTTACAAGAGTTTTAAGGAGGCCTACATGTACTTTGTAAAGGATTTTCAAGCAAAGCAAAGGTCAATTTTAATATGTTATTCACAAAAGGGGTTTTATAATTGCCAAAACTTTTCAAAGAAGGCCAACAAGATTAAATGCATGCCAAATAAAATAAATTTAGAACTCATTTGTATTAGAGAACGCATTTGCCACTTGAAAAAGATAAGCTTGAACTTCAGGATTGGTTTTCTATATGCCTGATAGTAAGTATTGTGTTGCTTGTGTCATGCATTATTCTTTATTCAATAGTCAGTGTAACAAAATATATACAGTAAATAAATAGACATAAAATTCAAATAAAAACTATTTATTCGGTTTCATATTATAAGTTTCTCTATGGACTCGAGTCAATTCAGGAAGGCAGCCTAAAACATCAAGAACAGAAGCAGAATTCCACTGAAGGTCCTAACTGTGATTTGTAGTCATAAAAGATCCTATCAACATTTTTGATAGACCGTGCAATATTTTGAGGTCCAATGTAAGCACCCTCTTTTGTTGACCACATAGCAATTCTATTGTTGCACTCATAAGTCCATATTTTAATCATCGTTAATAATATATATTTCAATGCTCTATTTCAAAAATAATCTGTTGTCATCTTCCATTAATATCTGTTTGTGAGTCCTCATTATTGTCATTAACTACATCATTATCAGAAGTCTTTTTTCTTGTATCTAAACTTGATGTAGAAGTCCTATTTCCTATATTTCTAATAACAGAGGTTGCTGGTGAGTAAAGAACTTTACGGGAGAGCCTAAGTCTCCCACTGGCTGGGTCCCGCCCAAAATATTTCACTGAGATATCTTGTCCAATTTCAAATCCAAGTGCACTGGGATGGTTAACCTGGAAATAAGGTCTTAGAGATTATCAAAAATTAAGACGGGGCATAACGATGCAAAATGTCACCACCTGCCATTTGTTATAGAGACTGCAAGAATTTGTTAGTGATGTGACGCTGAACACCAACTGCCTTCCACAAAAAGTTGAAAACTATAACAATATATCACCTCTTCTGCGGTCACATAACAAGAGTAAAGAATCTTCTCAAAAGTCTACACTAAATCTGAGTAAGTGGTATGCCTTTGGTACATTCATGGGCTTTCAACTAGATTGAAAGCCCATGGTACATTTTAAAAAGTTACTATTCCTCTTTCTGGAAAAGTCAAACTTGCAGAGTTTTCCACTGTATTTATATATTTGGTGCTATCAACTGACTTGGTTTAATTTTATAAAGAAACATACCCTACGCTGGTCTAACTGTGAATTGTGTACCAAGGCAGGCTGCATTGCTGGGTGGATCTGAATCATCACACCTATATCCCTGTGAAAAAAAAATTGTATATTGATATTATAACTATTTTACAAGTTCAGGGTCATATCATGGGCTTTTCTCTTGAAAGCAAATGGTCGTATCCAGGATCTCTTTAATTGGTAAGGCAAATCTAAAATGACGAGGCAAAGATATGTAGATTTTATTTTGGTACATGTACTATTACGTAAAATGTTGGTGAGTTGTCTACAACCATACAAATATATGCATTATTCATTATTCTAAAAAACATGAAACACAAGTGTACTTGTGTTACAAGTTTACTGCCACATGATGTCTACTGATAAACTAAATATATTACCAGGTGTACTAGAAGACCAACTTTTATCAAAGTTAATGACAAAATTAACTTCAACATACATTGTTTTTATACATTTTCTCTACAATTCCACATTCTACAAAAGCTGCAAATTTTACCTGACTTCCACAATCTTTGCTGTATATATGGCACCAAATTCAAGTTCAGGTACTTTCTGCAATTGCAATAACACAATGGACTAAAACACAGGGCAACTTTTACATGGGATCTTATATATGACTTGTGCCTTTTGAGGTGTACTGAAAAATTCTTAATTTTACAATCTGATTTCATAGCTGTCTTCATGTGCCTCTTGGACATTCGGGATTACAAGGATTCCTGCTGATTCCTTAGTCTTTTTAGTAATTTTGGTCTTGTTTATATCTTAAACACTGTTGATGTGAACTTTACGTGTTGGTTAATGTAATAATGTGCTGTGTAAACATGTAATAAGGTTGGAAATAAAAAAAATCTTGTTGATTGACCTAGGCTTAAGTAATATGTTCTTCCTTTCTAATCTTATGGCTTATTAGTGATCATTTTTATATGTGAGAATTTTAATCACTAATAGTTTGTGGTTCAATGGATGATGGGACACAAAGGTAAAATATCGATCAGTATGGGTTTGTTTTCGATACACTTTAAAACTGAACTTTCCTGAAGTCACTCTTGTTTGTACAGAGTGTCATAAAACAATGCCAATCCCCCTCACTCTACAGCAAAAAGTACTTAACGTTACATTTTGTCTCATATCTCGTCTTAAAGACAATCTAATTCTGGAGTTACCTGAGAAATCTCAGCTTTGTATGATATCATTTTACAGATCTACAGCCAATTGTTAGTAGTTGGTATGACGTCTAATCTGGATGGATATTATTTTATCACGATTCAAATAAGGGCGTAGCATTGCATGATCCCCTAAGCACTTCCTTCATATTCTTCACCGATGCATAATTAATGTATCTGTTTTCAACAGGCTCTTTGTCCATTACTTCATCTACCCTCTCATTCAAAATTGAACCCGTATTTTCTTCTTATTGAGCTATTTCCTACATCTTCCACCTTTCAAAGGTCCGAAGTAGCAAACTTTGAAACAATGTAGCTTTTTTAATAAAGTTTTATTGAATGCAATTGGATGAGTAACTCCAGAATCAAATTATCTTTCAAATGAGATATGACTCACTTTGTGACATTAAGGAGTTTTTGCCGTTGAGGGGGGTCCGTTTTTTAGACATTCTGTAATTGATCAATCTACCTCTGTCTCAGAAGTGAACAAGGCATTAGCATCACAAAATGTCACCACCTAGTTGCTCACAATATCATTAGTTCAAGTTTCAGTCAGGTTTAAATTTTTAAGAACTTGTAGATGATTTTGAAAAAAAAGAATTTGTCAATTTGAAGCAAGTTGAAAAAATACATTTTAAACCTTGAGAAGGTCATTGAGGGTCAAATATTCTTTTGACCTTGAGAATGTCATTTAGGGTCAAATCTATAGTCAGATTTGAACTTCTGAAAACTTGTAGAGGATTTAAAAAAAACTGAAGTCAATTTAAACAGTATTTGTTTATTGGAAGTTTTCAAAATTTGTTACAGACGCCACCCGCCAATCGCCAACCACCAACCGTTCCTGCCAATTGCCAACCACCAATCACCGTTACAAAAAACAGAGACCATAACAATATGTCACCCCTTTTAGGTTGTAACATAATTTTTGGTGGTGACATAATAATGCTATTTGTGAGGTCTAAGCTATTGATATGACCAGTCAACTGTGTTATTTTTGCATTCTCAGATACATATCGCATCTCAAAATCTGTCTGTCTTTAGTTGCTCTGATTTTCCGTGCCAATCCTGCTGATGGAGGGGGCAGGCTTCCCATACAATCCCTGTAGAATTTCCACCAATCAGCGCTTGGATTACAAAAATTGATTTGAAATTACTTCTAACTTTAATATACTTTTCTTGTAAGCCACACTTGGCCTTAGGTTTCTCCCCAGACAATCAGTGGTATCCCATTATATTTACTTATATAATATCTTACATTCCTGAATTATGGCTTGAGACCTACTTAAGGGTATACAAATCAACAAAACAACCAACTGTCAGAATTGACCACAATAGATTGAGTTTGATCGCTGCAATTGAGGGAAAAGCCTTTCAAATGGCACAAGCACATGAGCATTGGCAAACTCGGCATGTGCCTTCAGCCGGGCAGCCAATCAGATTCAGAGCTGTGGTTTTTAAACTTTTAGAAAATCCAGAAGTGCCATTTACAGAGTTCTTGCATTTCACCTTTAAATCAAGTGTTTGTTACGACGAATTTGATTCGTCCGTCGATTCCTCCAATCCTAAATCGAAAGTGCCCCATATCAAATTCCATGGCGATCTATGATGCAAGAAGAGAGGGCATGATGGTATCTCAAAAATATCATCCTTGTATATATATCCACATAGTGAGTACAGGCAATATGAATATGGTATCCAGCAAAAGCAAAAAAAATTCTGATGAGAGTGACCCTAGCCCATCAAAATGTCTAATAGCAAGTTTTTTTTAGGTTTTTATGGTGACCAAACAATGCAACCCTTTAATTTTGGAATAATATTTTCTTAATTGATGCTATAACTGATTATCACCTGAACACCATGCAGTCAAAAGATTCTATCATAATTGATAAAATTATAACAAAATTAGAGAGTTGCATTTTTGTGTCACCCTGTGCCTTTTGTTTCAATGCCTTTCATTTGATTTTAATAAAAACAATTCATATGAAGGCACTAACATGACAAATGCTACCACCTGTTATTGCTGATGATTACAAAAGTGTTACTTCGTTACAGAATGATGCGCACAGACCACAGATGATGAAAGCCACTCACAAAAAAACGCAAATGAAAAATGGAAAAAATTTCTTACCTCTTCCTTTAATAACAGCTCAATTCTTTCTCTTGCCTCTTCCATGGCAATGTTATTTGGTGCAAATATTTGATAGCTAGTGTCATCTATTGGTGTGACGCTGACACCTAAAAATCATTCATTAAATTCTATAAATTAATTGTCAAAATGTGGAAGCATATTATTAAAGTCTTGTGAACAAAATCTTATAAACACATAAAAAGTTGTTTCAAGTAAATACAGGAAAAATATGACCAGATTAATGATTAAATTATACAGGGTGGTCCAAAAATCATTCTCAATTTTGACTTATATGTCTGTAGGACAGGTCTATGAAAAAAAATTGAGAAATCTTCCTATCATTAGAAAATGCTAGGCAATCAAAAGTGTGAATGATTTTTTGGACCACCCTGTATAATAATATTTTATATGAGGCTTGGAAGCTATTGTAAGTTAAACATTTTATTGTAATACTCGTTGATTACACCCAATAACCAATGATTGGATGATGATAAATAAAATGTATAATAGGTAGAGATCTATTTCACCTTTTCATCTATTCATTTCTTCCTAAGAATATTATTGTTGCTTCATTTAAAAAATAAAAATAAAACATGATCATCAAAAATTCATCTTAAATGTAGACAATTTTCTTATCTATTCTGGTTTGAATTTCTAACTTTTCTAACTTTTCAACTAGTGAAAAAACATTTATCATCTTCAATGAAACATCTTATCTTACCTGTTTCTGCAGTGAGTTTTTTCAAATTATAGCCACCAAGTCCTAAGAATTTGGCACGTTTATGAACTGGTACATTGAGTGTCTCTGATACAGGACCATTTTCCTTTCTCTGAGATCTAGGACCACGTAAAGTGTCACTCATAATCTTGATGATTTCTTTTTTACCCTCTGTAAGCAAAAGAGCATAGTAAAGTTCCTATTTTATGTTTTATCAATTTTATCAATCATTTTATGTAACATATCTAAAGAATAGCCACAAACTCAAACAATATCCTCAATTAATATAAATACAGAAATATAATCAATTTTTGAGTAAAACCTGTCAAATTCAACTTGTCAAAGTGTTTGATGTTTACATTTCAGGGTTTCTTAATATAAAGTATGTGATTCATTGGGAGATACCTAAATTGGGAGAGATACACACTGAAATGAGATCGGATTAGAGATGTGTTCCAATATACATGTATAGGTTTTACTGTATTTATAAATTACATACCTCCTGCACTAGTCACAGCTTCCATGATAACGTTCAGTGGCAAACCTCCACACTTTATGTCTGCTTGGAGAGCAGTAATTCCTGTCTTTGTACCTGCTAGCTTGAAGTCCATGTCCCCCATATAATCTTCTATGCCCTACAACATTCATTACAAAACATTCAATAAAACAAATAGGAATTGATTTATATGATAATAAAAACTTTTTAACCTAAAAAATGTATTTTGGATGATCAAAAAAATTTTTAAAAAAATATTCTGTCGGGTTTCAAACCTACTCTCTCGGGTATAAAATTAAAAACCCATTCAAAACCCAGCACTTTATATTTGAAAAGAGGAGTATTAAGTTCTTAACCCAGAGAAACAGCAACATAAAGGATGGCATGAGAGAGCAAATGGGTGCGTCAGTACCAATTTGATGGATATTGGACAAGACAAATATTATTTCCTTAAAATGACATTGAATAGAATTTAGCGTGACATTAAAAAGTGTTAATGCAGCTAAGTGGAATTCACAGATCAGATCCATTATTTCACATATCTGCCTAGAAATAAAATAATAAAGTTTATTTAGCATGTGATAGGGAACCACTGGCAAAATTCACAAAACATCTAAAAGTCAGTTACTTGAACATACTGATAGAGATCTTTGTTTTGGTCTACTTGCTAATGATCTTTTTTGTTATGCTCTTCTCAAATATTTGATGATCGAATGTTCGATATTGTCTGATTTGAATATTAGTCAATTTGCAAATAAAATTGATTGTCTGTTGCTCTGAGTGAAAGTTCTCTGATTTCATAAATGTTGAGTAATACCTCTCACTTATATCATATACACATGCATGTATCATATGTAGATAAATGATAGACTTGATGGAAGGTTAAGGGAGACGAGTCACTTGATGGAAGTTCTAGGAAGTTTCAGGAACAACAATGGAAAGAGATGCATAAAGGCTAGGTAACTTTTTTAGCTATTTTTGCAGATGGATAAGTACAATTTATCTTTTGATGTAACTCTTACATGCAATTAGTCTGAATATTATTAATGTTGACCAAAATGTTAAGATATAACTTGACTTGTTAGTTTTACTTTCATATCAAAATAAAAACAAACTTAAAAAGAACACTTTCATCAAATGCCTCGTGTAAAGTTTGTAAATAAAGCGTTATCATTCAACCATTTCTTTTCATAACTTGAAAAACCATTTGTGACTTTTTGGCAAAATAGACTTTTTAACAAAATAAGTTGTTCATCTTATATTTTCAAACGTTTGAATTTCTCGTAATTTTAGAAACAAAAGTTTAGATTTTTAGATTATCAAATACAACATTTAACACTATAAAACATATTATTTTATCAACTCCATCAAACAGATCAGGCAAAAGTCATATTCAACCATTCAACCTATGATTTATGCATATCTAAACTTTGAAAGCAGTTTTAAAATTTTGCAATATCAAAATATTTCAAAAGGTTTCAAAAAAATTGGTTAAAACACAAATGCACGTATGCATTTTCACATTCTTCTTATTGGACTTAGTGTAATATAGCTCTATGTTTACTTCAACAGTAACAGGACAACTCACCAAGACAAGTTATCCCAAGACATCTCATCCCAAGACAACACATCCCAAGACAACTCATTCCCAAGACATCTCATCTCAAGACAACTCCCCAAGACAACTTATTCAAAGACAACTCATCCGAAGACAACTCATTCCAAAGACATCTCATCGCAAGACAACTTATCCCAAGACATCTCATCCCAAGACAATTTATTCCCAAGACAACTCATTCTCAAGACATTTTATCCCAAGACAACTCATCCCAAGACAACTCATTCCCAGGACATCTCATCCCCAAGACAACTCATCCCAAAACAACTCATCCCTAAGACAACTCATCCCAAGAAAACTCATCCGAAGACAACTCATTCTCATCACTTTTTCATGCTGGATTTTAAATTGACTCATATTTTTTATATTTGTTAGTTCGTTTTTTAATTAATTCTTGCAGATTGTACACTGTAGGGACTTATATTTCAATGTGATAAAATCAGAGAGTCAAAAAGTATATAGAGAGAAACATTAAGATAAAATTATCTCATCCTGCTGTTGTTCATCGTTCATTCTAAATAACTGAAATATTCTTTTGAAACTATTTTTTTAACTATTTCCAATTTTGACATATATTTCTGAGAAATATTGAAAGAATTTTTAGGAAACTATGAGGAAACTATTAAGTCCTAATTCTTTTAATAAAATCATATAATTTTTCACATGATGACTTGGTATAATATGATACGACCATTTCTGATTCAGAGATATATTTCTGAGTCATATTTTGAATTATTAGAAAATAGATTTGAATCCGAGTTAAAGTCAAAATGGTACCAATATTCAAACGCTATCATATAAATAATTTTGTGATTTTAACATTTTTAAGTTTTATCAGATATTTCACTTCAACATCATTCAATTTCTATCAATTTCTGTATCAGATATTTCACTTCAACATCATTCAATTTCTATCAATTTCTGTCAATGTTAAATGGTGACTGAAAATATCAATTAGAAATTATATTTATTAATCATCTACCATTATAATATTCTTACTGTATCATGAAAATAAACCAGAAATTGAAGATACTTAAACAAAGTACTCAGAATTATCTTGCCTTTGAAATGAATATTCCACTGATATGTCTGATATGTCACTGAGATATAGTCTCCAACTCTTTTTTGACAAAATGCTGGAATATCAAATTTTGAGAGCAAGACTGATTACAGGTCAAGATAAACTTGCTCAAATTAATGTACACTTTAATTATTTAAAAAAAATATCATCAAAGGTGTCAGATTAAAATGAACTCAGTAAGGATGTATTAATCCAGGGTATCATTAGAATATTAGAATAATTCCCCTTGATTAATACAAAGTCTTTGATTTAAAATGCATTGTTTAAATCACATTATGTCAAATTTGGATTAATCCTAAATAAAATTTAAACTTTCACATTTATGATGATTAAAATTGTCTGTTGAAAGGAGTGGTATCGATATGGTGAACTTTTTGAACATACGGTCTCTTAAACCAGTCATCAAAAACATTCTGAAAGTTTTACACATCCTCAATTTAATGGTCATCTTTTGTATGGTAACATAATATTTTGAAATATATATACCCTGGTATATACTTTTCCTCTATATTGATTTAGAAAACACACTATACACTTCTTTTGTTCTCATTGGAACAAAACGACATAAACACAACGTGTTTAGGTCTCTCAATATTGTAATTGTACAAAGGAAAGTTTGGTTGATTTTAAAAAAGTATCTTGTAAATGAAATAAATGGTTTATCTTAATTTTTATATATTTTGGGGGTTTTGTTTTATGTTTTTGCATACTTTTTGTTAAATCAACCAACATTTCCTTTGGATAACTATATAATATTGAGAAGTCTAAGAAAATGTTGTATATGCTATTTTGTTCCAACAAGGTTCGGAAAGACATTTTATTTCATTCTCAAGAACTGGTAAAAAGGAACAAAAAACAATTGCACAAAAAACCAAACAAAAAATGCCAATCAGTCAAGGACCCCCCCCCCCCGGCTATGGGCCTCCTAGTACTCATAAAAGATGATAGACAGGAGAGAACTGTAGCTGGTTTTGATCCCTATTTCTCAAACATTAATGCCATAGCTGGGATCCACCTTAAAAGGTGCCATTAAGTGAAAATATTGTATGTTCAAATCCAATTTCCTAAACTAATCCAACATCATTTAGCACCTCTGTGAATTCAATTGCAATTTCCTAAACAATTCCAACATCATTCAGCATCTCTTTACACTTACTTTGCTTATTATAGTCCATTGGCATCAATTCAGCTGAATATTTTATATAAATACCTTCTACTTAAATAACCAGTATGTGTTTATGATGTAATCACGCAACCTGTAGATCATGGATTGTTTTTCCATGAAAATGCATGCATGTAATTGCTTGGGTACCTTTTATTTCATTTACAAGATGCTTTTTCAAAATCAACCAAACTTTCCTTTGTATAATTGTTGTGTTTATGTCGTTTTGCTCCAATGAGGTTCTATAGATGTTTCATTTCATTCCGAACAGATGATATCAAGAAGTGTCTGATGAGTTTTCTAAAACAATATAGAGAAAAGTATATATATATATATTTATATTTCAAATCATAATGTTGCCATCCAAAAGATGACCATGATGATGATGTGTAAAATTTTCAGAATGTTTTAATAACTGGTTTAAGAGAAACGCGTGTTCAACAAGTTCACCATATCGATACCACTCCTTTATAAAATCACATAACATGAAAATAAAATGTACCAGCAGTAATACAGGTCTGTCTCTTTTTTGCAAAATCTACATCCATGATAAAAGGGGACCACATTACCTACTAGAGTAAAGGTCTTCCAACCACAGAGGCATTAGCCTACAAAATTTGGACCAAACCCCTGATAATTAGTATTTGCGGTATCATGTTTTGTAGTGGTCATATTGATAGCGGTTTATAATGGTGGCCAATGTAGATTTTCAAAATTCAAACACTTAAATGCCATAATCTTTGGAATGAGGCAAAATTCATTTTGTTATCATTTTTATTCTGAAGAATATTATGTTATTTTAACATAATAGGAAGATCGACTTTATTGCTCTAGAACTGTTCTGCAGGGGTCTTTTGAAGATTGATAAATTAACATGGGAATCAATGTAAATGTGCAGAATTTTTGAGGCCTGCTAATATCCACTTGGGCCACTTTTCAACATCACTTCAGAAGATATCAAACAATAAGTATTAATGATACTTTGGTCAAAGAATGGTGCTTTATATAGAGAATATGCAATTTGACTGATAAATGACTCCACTAAATGACAAGTACTTTTACATGTATGTCTCTAGCTGACAGCCAACAATGGATGTGATTTAAATATTCACTTATCAAAATGAAGGAGAACAAACGCCTCATAATTGCCACCCAGAAAAATTAATGATGGGTAATGGATTGAAATGGATGCATTTTGTCAATATGTATACATCTTTTACTAATAAATCTACTTTTATTTAGATACTTTCAACAATATAAGCAAGACATCCACCACAGCCCTTGGTTTCACCAGTAACTCCCTGAAGAAGATCTACTATAAACATGAACGGAAGCCAGATTGGTGACATACTTCAGATGACCACTGAAAATCTCGCATCTACACTACCTGCAGAGAATACTAGCACAGGTGTGACTGAAACATTGAGACTTTCGCATGTACTTCCAAGGAATTACCTTATAGCTCATGCTGTGTTTGAATCCATAATTGCTGTTCTTATCGTTGGAGGGAATAGCATCGTTTTGATCGGTATTCTGATTCATAGGAACTTACATACTGTAAATAACATGTTTTTAACCAGTCTGGCAGTTGCAGACCTTATTATGGGGTTATTTGTATCCCCGCTCACAATTGTCCTTCTCTATGTGAAACCTCTCATTTATGATGAATACAAACAAGACAAATGGACATGTATAATACGTTTGTACTTAACAATTATGTTATTAGGAGCATCTTTGTTGAGTATTTGTGGAATTGCTTTGGATCGTTACATTGCTATCATGCACCCTTTGAAATATAGAAGTATGTTAACCCATCGAAGAGTCATGGTTTATATCCTATGTATTTGGGTATATGTGATCTCAATCTCTGCATATGCATTTTCAGAAGGCAATATTCAATTTCAAGCACATCAAATTTGCCGTACAAAATATGTTGTATCACCACTTATTTTCTCCCTACTGAAAATCCATGTTTTCGTTATTATATTTGTGAGTGTAATGTCACATTCTGTTGTTGCCATAGTAGCAGCAAAGCATAGAGCAAGGATCAACTCTGAATTGGTCAGGTTCAACAACAACATGGCTGTTGCACATCGTAATGAACACAAAATTGCTAAGACGATGATTCTTCTTGTTGGGACGTTCTTGCTATGCTGGCTACCACACACAATTAACTCACTCATTAAAAGGGCAGATTCTCCTGATTGGGACAAATCTCTTAGTTATTATTTGATTGCTTTAACATTTGCAAATAGTGCAGTGAATCCTTTGATTTATGGCATTGGGATTGAAAGTATGAGAAAAGCTATGTTAAATGTTATACAGTGTTCTCTAAAAATATATTTATAAGTTAGCTTGCGACAATCAAGAGGTGCCAAATTACAGTATTACATTTTGACTCTCTTTTGTCCATAGTGATGATTGGAAATTACAACAAACAGTTCCGTACATGAAATTAAGAGTGGTATGCGATTCCTCTCCATTATATAGAATGATGAAATTGAACAAGTTCATTTCGAGACTCCAGATTCCAGATTTTATTTTAAAAATGATTTTGACATCTGATATTGATGAGAAAGTGAAACAAATGTACAAAATGTTCCTTTATTAAGGTACAGCTGGAAAATAACATTTTGGTAAAAAATTGCTATACCTGCACATGTTATTTTCTTGTACAAAATAAAGTATGAAGGCATGTGTCAATTTCCTTGCTTTTTTCAGGAAAGTATCATTACATTGTCTTCTTTTAGAACATCTGGCAGTAGTTCAATGGGATCTCCAGGAAATTCTGATATTTCACACTTTCTATTTTTTCAAATTTTCTTTCAACACAGGAGCTACCATTTCCAGGTTTACTAAAAGAAGACAATGTTATGATACTTTACTGAAAAAAGCAAGGAAATGCACACATGCATTCATACTTAATTTTGTACCAGAAAATAACATGTGCCGGTATAGCAATTTTTTACCAAAATGTTACTTTAGCATGTGATGCTCTTTTAGTGTCTGAGTTTTTACAATTACTCCCTGACTGTAAAATACAATATATGCTAGGGGATGATGTTTTTATAATGTGGGGGAATGAAATAGGTAAACAATTTATAATTGTTTTAATAGTTTTCAACAGAGATGTACATACCATATTCTGGTAAACCATGATTACCATTATTTTAGTAAATTATATGTTTTTTATATGTACATAATTTCTAAATGAATGTAGATGCTCCTTCCATACTATGTATGAATGCGAGCCACTGTTTTAAAAGTGTAAGTCGAAATAAATAAATAAAAAATAAATAAATATGTTCTGTTCTTACCTTTAAAGGCAAAACTGAATTTTAGTGTGGTAAAAGCGAAAATTAGAAAACGACTTAGATTTTGACCTTGACCTTTGACACTTAAAATTTTGAGTTTACTGACTTTTTAAGGTCCTTTACATTGTTTTAACTTCTAGTAAAGTTGATAAAAATATTTTAAAATTTGGACTGTGGTTGGTGATCGGCGGGTGGCAGTTGGTGGTTGGCGTTTGTAACAAATTCTTAAAACTTCAAATAACTTAACAAATACTGTTTAGACTGACTTCAATTTTTTCAAAATCATCTACAAGTTTTCAGAAGTTTAAATCTGACTTCATATTTAAGATTTGACCTTCAATGACATTTTCAAGGTAAAAAAAGGTTAAATAAGGTCAAAAAGGTTGTTTTTCAACTTGCTTTAAATCGACAAATGTTTTGTCAAAATCATCTACAAGTTATCAGGAGTTCAAATCTGACTTTAGATTTGAGATTTGACCTTCAATGACCCTCTCAAGGTAAAAAAAAAGATCAAAAAGGTCTTTTTCAACTTGCTTCAAATTGACCAATTCTTTTCATTCAAAATCATCTACAACTTCTCAAAAATTCAAATCAGACTATAGATTTGACCTTTGATGACATTCTCAAGGTCAAAAAGTTGTGACCTTCAATGACCTTCTCAAGGTCAAAAAGGCCTTTTTCAAGTTGCTTCAAATTGACCAATTCTTTTTTTCAAAATCATAAACAAGTTCTCAGAAGTTCAAATATGACTTTAGATTTGAGATTTCACCTTCAATGACATTCTCAGGGTCAAAAAGGTCTTTTTTCAACTTGCTTCAACTGCCCTGTCAACCCTCACGCACTAGGCGTGATTGTCACGCATTTGCTGGAAAAATAGAAATTGTGCATCAATTTTGCGTGTATGATCAAATATCACGCAAATCACGCATTTTGTTGATATTTTTAAAAATCGTTTTTTTTGTGAAATGCCGACACGGTAAAAAACCAAACGGCGAAAAAAGCGACCGCATTCCGTTCGGACTTTGCACGTGATTGCCGTTTATGTCACGCATTTGGTAAAAAATATGTGTATATAGCACGCATTTGTTTCGAAAATATTTACACCTACCTGTGAATGATGGCTAAAATGGCAGACAATAAATAAAATAGGAATCTTATTGACAGAGGTCTTAAAACATGCCACTATTTTGGACTCACTGAGAGACAGATGGACAAATCAATGTTAACTAAATTGGCTGAAAATAAAAAAAAAGGATTTAATTTTTTGTTCAATTTTTGTAACAGAATTATTTCATCAACTACTCTTTACATTGCCATGACTTTTTACAATGCAAGACACCTGAAATTATTCATAAAACGACCAATAATTCAAAAGTGAATTTTGCGCAACAAAAATGGCGGCCATTTTAAAATAGGCGAGCTTTTGAACCAGGAATCATAGGGGGTTTTCTTTATTGATGTTGAACAGAAATAACTTTAAACGGGAATCCTATCGACAGAGGTTTTAAAATGTGCCACTCTTGTTGACAGACATACGGACAAGTGGGTGATTGCAATAGCTCACCATGTGAGCTAATAATATTGTGAGCAACTATGTGGTGACATTTTGTTATGGTTATGCCTTATTTCATTTTGTTGAGGTGAATACCTGTGGCTCACCATTTCCAATATAGTACCCCGGACAGGTTGTATGATGCAGTCGTTTTTTTAACTCTATATTTGCAATAGAACAACCATTCTTATTGAAATTTTCATATTTTATTCTGGAGACAATTTCCAACATGGAAAATAAATATTTTATCAAAATTTCCAATTTTATGATTTTGACGGGCTTTTTTCAAAAATACTACACTGTCAATAAAATACAGGTTTTTGCTTGAACAATTGACTTTTAACGTCATTTCAAATATTGTCTGGCTATTGAAATTTCCGGCCGCCTTAAGTCTTTCCAGATATATCGGTTGCCATATTAATAATTATGGCTGATTATTGTTATTCACTTGAGTCATATTCAATATTATTACAGTGCATTAGGCCAATAAAAACTTGTTGCTCTGGGTCTCATTTTGTAAAGCATTCCCTAGATTGAGCCCAGATAGAGGAGGTCAATCTTCTTGTCCACGGACATGAATTCAACCTGATCGAAATTGTTTAATACTGTCCAAAATGAAGTAAAACATTACAAATCTCCAATTTGAAGTATTCTTGGTATTAGATCCTTCAGAGATGTTAATATAGTTGTGTCAAATTTTATCATGAAATTGTCAGGGAGACCTGACATTTTAAAAAGCATGGTACAATTTACGTGCCACAGGCTTGCATGCTGAGTGACGGTGGCGGAAAAACCCAGTGGAGAAAAAGGTGCCTTTTCAGAGAAAACATGACCCAGAGTGACAAGTTTTTTATTGGCCTAATGCACTGTAATGATATTAGGCCTATTGAATATGAAAAAAATGAATAACAATAATCAGTCATAATAATAATTAATATGGCATCAAATACATCTGGAAAGACTTCAGGCTGCCAAAAATTCAATAGCTAGTCAATCTTTGAAATGACGTTAAAAGTTTCATTGTTCAAGCAAAACCTGTATTTTATTGACAGTGGAGTGTTTTTGAAAAAAGCCTATCAAAATCAAAAATTCGGAATTTTGTTAAAATATTTTTTTTCCATGTTGGAAATTGTCTCCAGAATAAAAGATGAAAATTTCAATAAGAATGGTTGTTCTATTGCAAATATATAGTAAAAAAGCGACTGCATCATACAACCTGTCCGGGGTACTAATTTGTACATTTAAACATTGGTAAAAGCATTACATTGATTAAAACCTTTGCTTATGTGTTATGATAAAAAAAAACTTAAGAATACTATATCTGGTATATGTGTTGTTTATTATGAAAAATGGCCGAAGTGATTTTCAGCATAAAAAATTTGAACCAAAACCATCAAAAGACTATATTTTTATATAGGAACCCAAATCTGTCAACTGATATTTGAGTTATCAGATTAAATTTTTACGAAAAATGATAGTGAATTTGAATTGAGTGGCCATATTGAACTTTAGTTAGATGGGATAACAAGTAAAATGTCATACCGTAACACCACATACTCTGATCTTAGATAAAAATAAAATTCCAAACAAAAAAAACTTCCATCATTTTCAAACCCGCACATACTTTAACAATTTAGACTGAATGATGAATGAGGGCAACATCCCTACTAAACTTTGTTCACTGGAATAATAAGTCACCGCCATTTTTAACAAACATTTAAATGAGCAGTACCTAAACTGATATTGTAAGAAAAACTTAAATAATGTTACGAAGCTGCTAATTTTGTACTATACTCATATTTTACTGAATTACAGAATCAGGCTACAGTAAGCCAGAGAACTACTCTGAAATAATACCTATTAAATATACCTTATTATATATTGTGCATTTTAATGTTCAACTCATCTCGCTGGCAT